CTCTTGGAACCCAAGCTGATCCACTATATAATGTCATCACTTTGAATACCTGTGACGGACCAATTATTGGCTGCTTTGGTGCTTCTTTCATTGGCAACCTAACTGGTCTGTTAAGCAACCCAGGAATGATTACCAATCTTTCTGGATATAAAGGACCGACTTCTGGAACCAAATGGCCAACTGGCGCTACTTTGGTGATCAATGTAATGAATTTCCTCAATTTCTTGTAAGCTCTGATATGCCTGATGCTTACTTTGTGACTTTAACTTTTAGGTACCTGTGGCAGTAGGAGGAGCTTTGATCATTGATGCCGATACTCCTAGCATTGGCACAGATCCTTGTCGAACCATTTGGAACATCTATCCAGTGAATATCGACGGATCACATACTAACGGACCCATCACACTATCACGCAACAGCAAATCAGCTCTTCAAGGATTGATTTTGGCTCCAAATGGTTTGTTATATGCTATTCTGCTTACATTGATCAGAAGCACCCTTCTAATTGTGAGATATTACATTTCAGCTGCCATCTTGGATGGACCTACTGGAAACTTTGCTGGATTGTTGGTTTCGTATAACTATAAGTAAGTGTAAAGTGTCTGTAAAGTGTTCCAAAAATCTCGTGTCTGACGGTGTTCCTTTCTATCAGCTGGCAAACATCCAATGTTAACATTCTAGATTTCACAACTGCGTCCGGAGGTGTCTGTAAATCATTCCTCGGATGTGCTCCAAATCGAAATGTCACTAGCACAAGCATGTTAGCATCTTCATCGGTTAGTGCAACAGTGTCATCGAACTCAGGTACGTTTGTAACAGCATATGCTGTAAACCAATATCTTAATATTTAATTCGGCCCTCTAACATACCTTTTACACTCATATCTTCAATTCGTAGCATCGTCTTCGGCAGCATCGTCTTCGGCAGCATCTTCCTCGGCAGCATCATCCACTGCATCATCGTCAGCTTCCTCAACATCCAATGTAGCTTCCTCTTCAAGCAATATCAATGGAGGTTCATCCAGCACAGGTAACGCGATTGATAAAACTTCTAAAATATCATCATATGAAATTATTAACCATCTTGATTTGATAACAAACAGTAACTACATCAACGACTGTTTCATCACCTTCGGTAACACAAACTTGCGATCTGTCAACATCAATTGATCTGCCAAGTCTGCAGCTCGCAGCCTTCAATGGTATCTTCTTGAATGACTTCACATCCAGTATCACCGCAGGCCTGTTTGGAAGTGCTGGAAGCTATGGTCCAATCGCTGTTGGAAATAATCTGTATGCACCTGGCTACCTCGTTGCAGAGAAGACTAACCTGACTGCATGTACTGCCAATGCATCTGGATTTTCTCAATATGGTCTTGCTGTTGGAGGTAGTATTATCAATGGAGGAACTCCAAAGGTTACTGGCAACGTATACGTGTTTGGCACGGGTACTGCTACACTGCAACTACCATCGTGCTCGGTCAGGAAGCTCAACGACAGTCAACAGTTTGATTTCGCTGGTGCAAGGACATCATATCTCCAAGCATCTGCATATTTGGCAAAACTAATTCCTAACCTGAGAATGAATAGTACCTTTGCAATCTCATCTCTAGGAACCCAAGCTGATCCATTATATAATGTCATCACTTTGAATACCTGCGATGGACCAATTATTGGCTGCTTTGGTGCTTCTTTCATTGGCAACCTAACTGGTCTGTTAAGCAACTCAGGAATGATTACCAACCTTTCTGGATATAGAGGACCAACTTCTGGAACCAAATGGCCAACTGGCGCTACTTTGGTTATCAATGTAATGAACCGTTTCTGTTACATGCGGTTCAGATATGCCTGATACTTACTTTATGCCTTTGACTTTTAGGTACCTGTGGCGGTAGGAGGAGCTTTGATCATTGATGCCGATACTCCTAGCGTCGGCACAGATCCTTGCCGAACCATTTGGAATATCTATCCAGTGAATATCGACGGATCACATACTAATGGACCCATTACACTATCTCGCAACACCAAATCAGTCCTTCAAGGATTGATTTTGGCTCCAAATGGTTTGTTATATTCTATTCTACTTACGTTGATCAGAAGCACTGTTCTAATGATGATAATTACAATTCAGCTGCCATTTTGGATGGACCCACTGGAAACTTTGCTGGATTGCTGGTTTCGTATAACTACAAGTGAGTGTAAAGTACTTGTGGAGTGTTCCGAGAAACTCAAATCTGACAGTACTTCTTTCTATTAGTTGGGAAACATCCAATGTTAACATTCTAGATTTCACAACTGCGTCCGGAGGTGTATGTAAATCGTTCCTTGGATGTGCTCCTAATCGAAATGTCACTAGCACAAGTATGTTACCATCTTCATCAGCTAGCGTAACAATGTCCTCGAGCTCAGGTAAGTCTGGCAACAGCATATGTTGTAAACCAATGTCTTAATAGGTAGTTCGACCCTCTAACAATTACTTTAAATTAATACTGTCAATTCGTAGCATCATCCTCGACATTGGCATCTTCGGTATCATCATCCACTGCGTCATCTTCAGCTGTCTCAACATCCACTGTAGCTTCTACTTCAAGCAATATCAATGGAAGTTCATCCAGCACAGGTAACGAGATTGTTAAAACGTCTATAATATCATTATACGGAATTATTAACCATCTTGATTTGATAACAAACAGTAACTACATCAACAACTGCCTCATCACCCTCGGTGACACTAGCTTGCGATCTGTCAACATCAATTGATCTGCCAAGTCTGCAGCTCGCAGCCTTCAATGGTATCTTCTTGAATGACTTCACATCCAGTATCACCGCAGGCCTGTTTGGAAGTGCTGGAAGCTATGGTCCAATCGCTGTTGGAAATAATCTGTATGCACCTGGCTACCTCGTTGCAGAGAAGACTAACCTGACTGCATGTACTGCCAATGCATCCGGATTTTCTCAATATGGTCTTGCTGTTGGAGGTAGTATTATCAATGGAGGAACTCCAAAGGTTACTGGCAACGTATACGTGTTTGGCACGGGTACTGCTACACTGCAACTACCATCGTGCTCGGTCAGGAAGCTCAACGACAGTCAACAGTTTGATTTCACTGGTGCAAGGACATCATATCTCCAAGCATCTGCATATCTGGCAAAACTAATTCCTAACCTGAGAATGAACAGTACCTATGCACTCTCATCTCTTGGAACCCAAGCTGATCCACAATATAATGTGATCACTTTGAATACTTGCGATGGACCAATTATTGGCTGCTTTGGTGCTTCTTTCATTGGCAACCTAACTGGTCTGTTAAGCAACTCAGGAGTGATTACCAACCTTTCTGGATATAGAGGACCGACTGCTGGAACCAAATGGCCAACTGGCGCTACTTTGGTGATCAATGTAATGAACCTTTTCAAAGATTTGTGACGTAAGATATGCCTGATACTTACTTTGTAACTTTAGGTACCTGTGGCGGTAGGAGGAGCTTTGATCATTGATGCGGATACTCCTAGTGTGGGCACAGATCCTTGCCGAACCATTTGGAATATCTATCCAGTGAATATCGACGGATCACATACTAATGGACCTATTACACTATCTCGCAACACCAAATCAGTCCTTCAAGGATTGATTTTAGCTCCAAATGGTTTGTTGTATTCTATTCTGCTTACGTTGATCAGAAGCACCCTTCTAATTGTGAGATATTACATTTCAGCTGCCATCTTGGATGGACCCACTGGAAACTTTGCTGGATTGCTAGTATCGTATAACTACAAGTAAGTGTAAAGTGTCTGTAAAGTATTCCGAGATACTCAAAGCTGACGGTATTTCTTTCTATCAGCTGGGAAACATCCAATGTTAACATTCTAGATTTCACAACTGCGTCCGGAGGTGTATGTAAATCATTCCTTGGATGTGTACCCAATCGAAATACCACTAGCACAAGCATGTTACCATCTTCGTCGGCTAGCGTAACAATGTCATCGAGCTCAGGTAAGCTTTGCAACAGCATATGTTGTAAACCAATATCTTAATATTTACTTCGACCCTCTAACATTTCTTTTGAATTTACATTGCCATCCGTAGCATCATTGTCCTCGTCGATGTCCTCTGCTATTTCCTCGTCGATGTCCTCTTCTGTGTCCTCTTCTGTGTCCTCTTCTATGTCCTCTGCTATGCCCTCTTCGATGTCCTCTTCAATGTCCTCATCGATGTCCTCGTCGATGTCCTCTTCTGTGTCCTCGCCGATTGCCTCTTCTATGTCCTCGTCGATGTCCTCTTCTGTGTCCTCGTCGATGTCCTCTTCTGTGTCCTCGTCGATGTCCTCTTCTGTGTCCTCGTCGATGTCCTCTTCTATGTCCTCGTCGATGTCCTTGCCGATGTCCTCTTCGATGCCCTCTTCAATGTCCTCGTCGATGTCCTCTTCTATGTCCTCTTCTATGTCTTCGTCGATGTCCTCTGCTATGTCCTCGTCAATGTCCTCTGCTGCGTCATCCCCTATGTCATCGCCTGTGTCCTCTAAATCCGATTTTATTTCGACTTCAAGCAACATAAGTGGAAGTCCATCTAGCACAGGTACTAAGATCGCTGAGAAATGTTTACATCTATCATATTGAATTATTAATCTTTTGTGTATCTTTATGTCAAACAGTAACTACATCAACGTCTCTTTCATCACCCTCTGTGACACCAGGTTGTGATCTATCACAATCGAACGATATAGCAGGTCTACAGCTTGCAGCGTTCAATGGAATTATCTTGAACGATTTTACCACCGTCACTGGGCTTACGGTTGCAGCTGGAGGAAAGAGTTATGGTCCAATTGCTGTACTCGGAAACGTTTTCGCACCAAACTATCATTTCTCTGAACAAAGTAACTTGACTGCCTGTTCACCAAGCGACGCTGGGTTCAAAGACTACGGTCTTGTTGTACAGGGAAGTATTAACTCGGCTCCTCCTCTTTCATTTGTTCGAGGCTATGCATACCTAGCCGGAGCAGGAAGAGTTAATCTTGAAGGTACAGCATGTACGACTAAAGCAAGTAGTGGCAGCATTTTCGACCCCAACGCTGCTGATACATACAAAACGGGATCTTATTATCTTGCAACGTTGCGACCTGATTTGAGACTTGTAGATATTAATGTTCTTTCAAGTGTTGGACCACAAGCAAATCCTGCATATCATGTTATCACATTAAACAGCTGTGGTGGCATAACTGTTGGATGTGTGGATGTTCCCTATCTAGTTGATGGTTTGCTTGACGTTGGAACTCATCCACCAAACCTGGCGGCAAATCTCAGCTTGCTTTCGGATCCAAGAGGCCTTTTGACCAAAATATTGGACTATGAAGGTCTATCTAGTTCAGGAATTCAATGGCCAAACGACGCAACGCTAGTTATCAATGTAAGTAAAATCTATATGATGAAGATGCAATGGCCGCAATTTTGTGGTTTAATAAACTTTACGTAGGTACCCATAATGCAATCAACAGTATTGATATTGGACGCACTCAATCCAAGCATCGGAACAGACCCTTGTCGAACTATTTGGAACTTTTTCCCAGTTGATGAACAAGGGAAATTCGCTGCAGGCGCAACTGCAACGCTTGTCCGAGGCACCACTTCAACATTTACAGGTTTGATCATGGCACCGCTAAGTAAGTATTGCCACTGGCTACGGTATTCCGATATAACTCCCGTTAATAATTATTTTCACCATCCAGTTCATATTGTCGATGAAAATATCGGTCATTTTGCAGGAAGTCTTGTAGCCTCTAGTTACATGTAAGTTGGTAAATACACATATCGGTTATTATGAGCTTTTTTGCTGACTATTATTACAGCTGGCAGAGTACTGTTGTGGACATACTTGATTTCGCGACAGGTTCTAATGGCCGTTGTAAAACATTCCTTGGATGTTTCCCTCTTGGACAGAGTCAGACACTATCGACATCATCTTTACTATACACTTCAACAATGTCAAGTATGAGCAGCAGCGTCAGTCAATCCCTCTCATCAAGTTTGAGCGTGGTAGAATCAACAACATCAAGTGTAGAAAGCTCCTCGTCCGTTATGACTTCTGAATCCAGTAGCTTTACGTCTTCGGTAGTTACATCATCCGTTGCAAGTTCAGAAACATCTGGAAGCTTATCTTCAAGTGATGTCGTATCAAGCTCTGTTGATTCATCATCTACGGACAGTTCGTCAAGTGCATCCTCTAATCCCAGCTCAACCGAATCGTCATCCACATCTTCAGCTTCTCTACCAGTTAGCTCAGTCTATACTGGAGTAGCTGCTGGCGTGTATTTCTACCCAGACTCTAGCGCAACCGTATCGGCATCTTCTTCTTCAACAGCTCCAGCGGGTAGTTCAGTCTCTACTGGAGTAGCTGCAGGTATCTATTTCTATCCAAGCTCTACCCTAGGACAAGTATTAACAGCCACTGCCTCGACAACGGAGATTAATATGACACCGGCTCCATATCATGGTCATCATTCACATCACGATAAGGATCACAAGAAGGATAAGGATCATTGGAAAGACGATGACAATGACGACGGCGATGATGATGAGGAGGATGATGAGGACCACTGGCACCATGATGAAGAAGACTGGAACGATAAAGACCATTGGAAGCACAAGCACGATGAGTATGACGACGATTACAGCAGTGATGACCATGAATGGGACAACAACCACGACGATCACAGTGAACATGACCATGATGATTATCACAAAGACGATCACCACGCCGATAAGTAATCTGAAATCCTGTGCTTACGTCCCTTCAGAGACAATCAGTCAGTTTACTACTTTTGAGACTGTATGAGTAGCCTATATTTCTTTTAGTCAAGAGTAACATGCTGTACTGTCACTTTAAAATATCAATAAATGCTCATGATTTATTGATCTAACTTGCTGTACCTGTCAAAGACGGCAGTAAGTAACTGTCTGTCGTACTGGTTTAAATACGCCAGACTGGTAGTTAATCATCCTGCCAGTAGTAAGTGGTTGTTAGTCGGTTGTCTTCGCATAGTATACTTATTAGAAGGTAAGGTTCTCACCCATTCATCATCAGCCACTTCTTTCTCTTCATCCTCGACGATAGGCGTTTTATCCTTCTCAGCTTGTTCATCAACATCCTTCGCTGTGGCAAACATTTTCTTCATAAGATCTTTACGCTTTTCATCATCACTTGCTTCCCTTTTTCCAATGGCAAACTTCTTTTTGGCATTCGTTTGAGGCAAAGCTGGGGCTTCAGAAACTGTAGACATTGTTAGAGGGGGGGCCATCGTTAGTGACTGCATCGTCATATATATATCGACTTACGTGGTACTAAGCCATCTGGCTGCAAATTTATATATTGACTAGGTTTGATTTCTCCAGCAAACCAGCTATCGGCTGATTGTGCTGGCGATTCAACATCTTTAGTCGGACAGAATATATCATCTTGGAAGAACTCAGGCTAATGCGTTTGGAGAGTTGAATATCAATAGTGTGATAGCGGTGAGCATGATCAATAATTGTACTTACTCTAGCCCTTGGCACCTTTATGCCAACAGTCTCTATGCTAGTTGCAGTAAGGCGATAAAACTTTGCAATTTCAATTGCCTTGACGTTACAGTGCTTCTTTGGCAAGAAGGCGAAACCCTGTTGCAAAGTTCCAGACTCATACTTTGCAAGTGCGGTAAGGGAGCTCTCCTCCAGCTCAAAGGTATGAATAATCCGGTCTCCCTGCAAGGCAAAAATCGTAAGCACGACAGCAAGTCTAAAGCATACATTTGCACTTAAAACTTACTCGACCAGCAACATAAAGGACGCCGCAATCTGGATCAAAGTAGACGCTCATAACGCTTGGCGATATATCGATGTTTTTCTTGAAGCAGGGACCTTTGGAAAGATCATCCAAGTTATATACCAAGACTTCTCTGGAAGAGCCAAGACCAAAACCGACACTGGCAATCATGTTCATCTCTCCAAGCCATAACAATTTAGCGGGGCGTATGGACTGATGTCCTGGTCCTTCGGCTACAAGCTTAAAGTCAGGAACAGCATCGAATACTCTGATCTTCTTTGATTTGGATGTTGTTGCCACCTGTTGGCCATCGGTACTCCAAATAGCGTCAAACACAACATCTCCATGCTCGAAATGATGCTTTTCCGTTTTGCTATTAAGATCCCATATTCTAATTCCCGCGCTGTTTCGATCAGACGACACAGTCAGCAAGACATCTTGTGCCACAGGGTTGAAAGCAATGACAACGGTTTTATCCATTGTTTTCGCTAGAAGATGTGATTAAAGGTAAGGTCCTTGGTTGTACTGAATGCTTATACTCTATAGAGGGAACTTACAGGATAAAACCGCTGCTGGCTCTGATACATCCTCGCTAATACCCTCATCTGGAATGTTCCATATGCGCAACTTGTTATCTTCGGACGCTGCAGATTTTTATATTAGCGAAGTAATCATTATCACAGAATTTAAAGAGCTCAATGTACGAACCTGTTACAAGAATGTTTGGATTGAAAGGGTCAAACTTGAAATCGACAACAGAGGATCCACATTGAAGGGAAGGAACCTTGGTAGGTAATCGGCCTGGTTTAGACGCTGAAATGATACCTACTCGCCCACCTGGACCTGCGATAGGCACAGCAATAAATTTCGAGCTGGCCTGTAGTTAAGAGAGACATATTAGAAATTGGATGTCCATAGTGAAAATACCGCATACACCACGTCTACCTGGATGAGGTTCGTCGTGCCACTCTTATCACTGCTTAGCCCACGAAGATCATGGAAGTGCTCGCTGGGATGATATGGCTTTCCAGCTATATATTTGTAAGGTGAGACAGAAGCAGCACCATATTTAGGAAGTACTTTCGCAGGTGAAGCAGCTTCGCTTGGCTGTTTAGCTGCGAGAAGTGGTGAAGATGCGGTTTTCGTTTCTTCCGGTACCTGCTGTGGAGGAGTAGTTGTCGATTCTGAAGGCAAGGTTTCGACTGGTGTTGGAGGGCTTGAGGTTGATGAAGACTTAGTGATGTCGGCTTTTATAGGTGTCTGCGAAACAGTCTCGGCAGGCGATGACTTTTCCGCAGCTGCCGGCATTGGGCTTTTTTCTTTAATAGTATCGGCGATAGGCTGCGAAGGCGACATTTTCGTATCATTGGATTTTGCTTGAGCTTGTCGCTTTGAAGGGTCTAAGGACACGGTCTGAACTAACCCGTTCTCATTGTTCAACCAGGCGCTTGCAGACAACGCAGGAGCTGAAAAAATAAATAAAAGAATATCAATATGCATGCACAACATCAATTGCTAGCACCATGGATTTACTTACCGTTTCCTTTTGTGTCGGGAAAAAGCTCCGAATGAAAGTCCAAGTATTGCTATTGAACAACTCTTGAGCATCTATAGTAGTCATAGATATAAACAGAAATCGTTGCTTACTTTGCGTGGGACCTCGAATGAAACTGGCACTATGGCATTAGAAGTCAAAGTCATGACACGAGCAACCTCTGCTTTCATCACGTTCAACGACATTTTGGGCAGCAAACAGGCACCGAAGAGAGAATTGTTTGTTCCGCACGCCATATTTTCAGCTATAGTTGGCTCAGATTGAAGATCAGATAGTTGGAAAGAGCGGATGGTAGAATCTCCACGTCCAATGATATAAATAGTTTCAGTATCTTCATCATACAATGGAATGAGTTGGCCAGTGGATGAGTCGAATGAACTCATTTTGATCGGTTTGCTAAGATCACGAGCATCCCACAAGGCGTATTGGCGATACCGAATCTTGGGCAATGTTGCTTCATGTTAGTAAGTCGTTCAATAACTAATTGCGTTGATAGCTAATATGATGCTATACCTTATTCAAACCAGTGGACAGGATGAAATTGCTCGAACCAAGCCAAACTGAGCGAGAACCCTTAATGCCTTCATGTCCTTTACCGGTCTGTTAAAAATCGCACTTTAGAACGTTAAATCAATTGCAGATGAGAGCAGAAAGATTTCACAAACCTGGATGGCTGCTTTCTCAGCACGAGGATCCCACACCTGTACAATGTCTTTACCAGTCGTTGCCATGAGCGTTCCGTCGCCTTTCCAAGAGAACGAATGCACAAGACTTTCTGACTCCACTTTCAATGCTGGTGCTTCCTTTCCAATATCCCATATCAACACTTCCTTTCTGTTATTTCCAAGCGTAGTAAGTACCTATGGAAAAGAGAGATCAGCTACATGTGCACCAGCTCCACATCACATGCTGCTCATAGTTACATTTTCGGCCGTGGGGTGGAATCTGACAGAGTTTGCGCGTGGTGACTGAACATTCAACACGGCAAGAGTTGATGCCTGCTCTCCAGCGGTAATTCCCTCCTCCGGTAATTTCCATACTTTGACCTGCATGATTCGTATATTAGGAAATGTGCTGCAGAGCAATTATATGGCCTCCAACACTCACCGTGCCATCTTCAGCTCCAGTCGCGAGAATATCCTGACTAAAATCCGAAAATGTCCAATCGGTGATACCTGATCCATGGGCATGTAGCATACCAGCACCTTCCGAAGCTACATATTTGCCAGGTTTGCCAAGTGGCAAGATTCCGAGAGTGCCACCGTCTGCCCAAGTAAACTCATGTCAGGACATATCCGCCCTGCATTCAAGGCAAGTTCTGATAACTTACTGCCGGACCATTTTACCGCTACCCACTTTTGATTGGCTTGAATCAGGTTTGCATTGTCCGATAGTGTGGAGGTGCTGATCTGGAGCTCAGAGTACCAATCCTGGCAAAGTTTGGTCGAGTCAGTCAGAATGACTCGAGATGGGTGAAGAATAAGTTGTTCATACCTCCGTCTTGGCGATTCTGCCAACAACATTACGGAATTTGCTTGTGTTTTGAAAGCGTTTGCTCATGGCCAAGAGTGAGCGGAAGATTGACCTTGCACACAAAATGAACGATGAACGAACCGAAACATACCAAATTTGGCTTTCGGGTGCTGAAAATGACTGGATGTCTGTTAGAAAAAACGGCTTGTCAAAAGCCTGACTTTATTATGGTGGAAGCAAGTGTGCTTGCCTGCCAAGTATTTACAAATTAATGTATTCGCTCTATTTACATTGACATGAAGAAATCGTCAATCTCATCTTTCCTATCATTCTCGTCCAATGTGCCTTGGTAATCCGCTGAGGGAAACAGGTTACGAGGCTGAGAACGGGTATGACATAGCGTCTCTTCTTCGCCACTACTGCTGCTATCGTCCAGTGCCCATCGGTGTTCTGTTATCAAGGTACCGGTCCTTATCTTGAATTCACGACTTGAATACCATGGGGACTTAATTTCAGCTTTTGATTGCAATTTTATCGTCAACGTTACATATCACTTACTGCACAAAAATTAATTCTCGACCGTCATCTTCGTCGGTGTTATAGTCCTTATAAACATCATCGTCTTTGATATACTCTTCTTCTTCTTCAAGTTCTTCAAATAAATCCTCGACTGCGGTAATTGTACGTTTTTCCAAGGTCACAGGTGATGGTATAATTATATGTCTTGGCGGTGGCGAAGGTGTACGGATAGACCTATCGATATGATCAGGCGATTCGGTAGACGCTTTCATTTCATCAGGATACTCGTCGCATTCATGGTACCCAGAATCCCGCTTTATGAGAGATTTTTTAAAGTGTTCCAAAGTAGTCATCTTATTAGAGATTTCCTGCAGCTGTTGGCTAGATTCATCGTGTAGCATGGCAAGTAGTTGTGCGGTCTTGTTATCCTGTTGATCTGCTTTGTCTCGAATGGCCATTGATATGACATCTTTCTCACGGAGAGTATCTTGATTTTTTAGCCATGGCTTTTGATCTGCAGTTGGTTTTCTTTCAATGTAGCAAATACTTTCGCCAGTAGTAGAATTGAGATTATCATCCGCCTTGTCTAGATATTTCTCAGAACTTGGCATGATACATCGCAATCTCTTAAATGCTGGCACATAATCATCGTTGTCTCTTTCTTTTCTCTTTTGACCAGCGTAAATTATTTCCGTGTCGCATGAAGAATCTCGATCCTTGTTTTTGAAATTATTGACACCTGAGGAACTTTTTCCTTGCTCTCCGTTGGGGTTTTCAAGTGCAAGCGCTTCATTCTGAGTGCCATTCGACGCCAAAATATCAGAGCCAGGTTTCAATTTTTCTATTTGGAAGAAATTTGTAGCAGGTACGAATGAGAAACCAATATTAGAGATCGAGGAAGGACTAGCCGGATTGTTTGAACCGGACATAAAACTGGTTTTTGCAAATGCGGATTTCTGTGTAGCAGGTACGTCGTCGAACTGGTCAAAGAATTTATTTTAGCACTCTACACGTGACACCTCCATCCTTACCAAGCTGAGCGTACTCACCTCTACCTCCTTTGGCTCATGATAGCTGCCACGTCGTCGCTTTTCGCTAGGAGACTCTTCTTGTTGCAATGCGTCGATAACAGGGTGAAAGGGAAGCGGATGTGAGACATCACCACGATCAGAGTCAGTCCAGTAAGAAGGTAGCTCAGTATCAGGCACACCATGAATGCTAGGAACAATTTCGCTCTTTCGTTTTAAAAAGAAAGGGTTATGAAATGAAGATGAGGTTTTTGTATCGTAACTTGAATCTAAATACTTCTGAGCAGTGAGACTGTCGCATCTTAGTTTTGGAGCGTGCTTATCCTCTTGCAGCAAGCTATCCGCGGTAGGCATATCCTGAACATTATGTACCATTTTGTGCTTTCTTTTGGAATTAAGCAGGGAATGCGGTGATACTGAGGTCGCAGTAGTAAAGGATGAGGAAAGGAGTCTTGTTTCCTCCGAATCATCGCATTGTCGCTCTATGGCATGATCCACTTCTTGTTTCGCAGCATCATTTGTGGATTGACTAGAGCGTACAGCAGCGTACTGGGACCGCTTGCCACGACGCAATGCACACATGTTGGATGGTGACCTTAGTACTGACATACATATGCCTTGCGTTAGCATCTCCTTTTTCTCTTTGGATTTCATCGACGAATGACGAGAACTAGATTCCGTAGTTTGAGAGATGGATGCCGATCGCGAAGTAAAAGTGGTCTGGTGCACGGGAGTAGAGTCGTTGAATACTGACGCCAGCGATTTCGGTGGTCTTGTATTTTCTTTCGGTTCAGGTGAAGTGGATGTTTTGAAAATAAGTGGAGCTGGTAGAGTCAATTTCAGATTACGTGTTTGATTGGAGGAAGCAGGAACTTTGGAGGCGAAACAAAATGGTGGTACCATGCTTGTACGTTCTTTTTCAACCGGTGGAGTGGAAAATGTGAATGTGAAAGGTACCATCTTCGATGTATTTTTGTTGTCCTCTTTGGAAGCGGACCCTCTGAAGGTGTAAGGAGCTGGTCTATTTGAGTTGCCTTTTTCTTCAGGAGAAGCAGAGGCTCCGAAAGTGAATTTTACTGGCGGTAGAGTACTCGTTTTTCTGGTATTGACAGTACAGGCTGTAGGGGTGCCACAAACTGTTGTTTTTGAATTGCTTTTTACATCAGACGGAGCAGCAAGTGTGAATGTAAAGGGAACTATGCGCGATGTAGCTGCGCTTTCATTCTTGGTATAAGAAGTAGAGTCTCCAAAGGTAAAAGGAACTGGTCTTTTTGCATTGCTTTTCTCATGAGATGGAGAAGACAGTCCGTAGGTATGTGCAACCAGATGAGGTCCACTCATATTTTCCTTATCGCCAGTAGAAACAAAAGTTTTGGACGCGGTAGAAACTGGTATTCTTGACTTGCATTTCTCAGTAGAGGAGGCAGAAAACCCGAAGTCGGTCAGAGAGGGCGGTCTCAAAGCGCCATTTACATCGAAGGGTGAAGAAGCTCCTAAATTGAAATTAAATGGCTGCGACGAACATGTATTTTCTTTTTCATCAGAAGAAGCGGCTGCGTTGAAGGCAGGTGGAGCTGGCCGTGGTATTCTTGAGACAGTTTTCTCATTGAATGAATTAGATCCTTTGAAAATATACACAGAGGGCTTTCCAGGATTTACTTTCAAGTTGCCTGAAAGTTGACCTTGAGGATATTTCGAGTATATCGTTGATGGAGTGACTGGGGAATAGGCTGGCCATTGCGGAGTTGTAGTTAGGTTCTGCCTAGGCATTTCGAACGTGAACTGGAAGTCACTGCCTTCTTGAGAGCTTCCAGAGTTGAATGTGACCGAAGTAGGTTCAACACCATAGCTTCTTGCTAGTGATGGGGTAGCAATGTCGCCTTTCTTTTGTGCCGGTATATTGAAATTGAACGGGAAAACGCGGTTATTCTGAGTATTTCCTGAGTTTACTTTGAATGTATTAGGGCCGACGTTAGAGTAGCTTGGCCATTTTGGAGCAGCATTCTCACAGTTCATTGTTGCCATATTGAACATGGGCTGACAAACATTGTTTTGCTGGAAGTTTCCAAAGTTTACTCTCAACGGAGCTGGGTCATCGCGATAGATAATTCGAACTGGACGTGGAATGTTGTCGCAATCTTTTACGGGCATGTTGGATTGATAGCTTATTTTGAATTATCACAGTAATCTTTGGAATTGTGCAAAAGAAAGTTTGATCTGACGGTTAACAAGCTTCGTTTCCTCCTCTGGAAACCTCTGCTCGAACAATGGAGTTAAAGACAGAGCCGTGCTTTTTCAACCTGAGGAGTTGCGGCTGTTCAAAATCATTTTAGGGCCGACTTGCCCAACGACCACAAAATCAAGCTCGTTAAGTCTAGCTGTCTCCTTTTCAAAGCTTCGTCGATTATTGTTATCACTGGCAAATAATTATTCGATTTTATGCGCAGTGTATTGTCTGTATGGCCCTCTCGTCTTTCCTGCATGTACCTCTTTGGCGGAGAGCTTAACGACTACTCCGGACGCTGCTGACAGTAGGTTGTACATTAGCACTGTTATAACTTCATCTTGTTGTTTAATGAAATTCACGAATAATACACCGGATGGTAACCGTGTTGTTAATTTCTTTCTATCTATTGCTCAAGAAAATTCATGACCATATTCATACTTGGCAAAACTGAATATTTGATCAAACTTGATGTGTCATCCTCTGACATGCCGGGTATAAAGAGAAACTGTGATTGATTGCATGGGTATGTAAGGTGGTAAATGCTCTATGAGTGCTCAGTCTTTACTGCACATTTGATCTCCACGCAAAGGTCGGTCAGAAGCGCAGGTGGAAGGCTCGTCAAAAACGTCAATCCTGATGCCCTCTCTATGGCTTCTTGGGCAACCTTGAATGTTTCCAAGGTGATATTGTTGGCTATGGGTTGGTTTGGAAACACAAAAGAGGCAGTACTGTACGTTTCATTTCTTTTCGCTAGCACCACTTTGTAGAAATGAGTTGGAACAGCCACATTTGGAGGATTTCCAATCATCTATGTATTTCATTAGTACGAAGATAAACATAGAAAAGGCTCTTCGCAAGGCACATACCTGGTACTTGACATAAAATTTACCATCTTCTCCTTTCTGAGGAAGAAAAAGTTCACCGGTCCACACCCATACATCGGGATATGTGTCAACTAAACTCCTAACAAACTCCTCCACATAAGCCCAATCTATGAAGTTGAATAAACATTTCAATTACTGGGTCATTCCAACCGTCAACTCACATAAGCCATTTGTACTTACAGCCTCGATTGAAGCCAACCCCGACTTGGGGAGCCATGTTGGTTAAAAAAAAGGTCTCATCCATGGCCTGTTGAGTAAAGGTAGCGTCAGCAGCAGGTGCCTGATGACCTCTGTCAAAGCCACTTCTGATATAATCTTTTAGCAAAGCTTGGAACATGGGTGGTATAGCTGGATCTTCTCGGAACGACGATCTGCTGCGATCAACTCCTTCGCCAGCCGTCAAGGTTTGTCGGTTTAAATGTTCTCCGACCCAATTCGCGTTTCGGTCTCGTCGGTTGTAGTTTGCCATATAGGCGTCACGCTTTAAGTCGTCGCTTACAGGCCCTATAAGTCCGCAGTGAGAAAACTTGCCACAGTAGAATCCCACATGCATTAAAGTAACCTACCAGGATGACCAAATTGCAGGATACTAGCGGCAGTATCATCAGCTACAGATGGAACGGCGTTCTGTTCTACCTTCCTGACAATCAGGTTTCTCACAGGATGGGTCCACTGTTGTGCAAAGAGAATAGTGGCCATGCCAAACAGTGTACCGCTAATAAACCATAATAGACGGGAGGAAAGCATGGTTGAAATGAAATGTACACCATGAATTCCAGGTTTATATTTTATTATCTACAGTAGTTCCAAAGGGGGTGAGGATATGGTCACAACACATTTATGCTGTCGGTCACGTTATGGCTCATTTGCCAATGCAGAATTCGCTGAAAAGCATATCCAATACTTGCTCCACGTCCACCTTTCCCGTGATTCTCCCGATGGCACTGGCTGCTTGTCTAAGCTCTTCTGCAGCCAATACAATATCGCTCGTGGCGTAATCTACACCATGCGGTTAGAAGAAGAGTAAGAAGATGGTTATTAGCACTGAAACTTACCTGCTACCATATCTAAGGCTGCGAGGCAAGCAGACAGATTAAACCGATGTCTTGCCTGGGTAATGAGAGCCGAAGAAGACGTTGCACTTTCATATCTGTTGAGAAATGATCAGTTTTTTTTTTTTTTTGAGTAGCATCCACTACAGTTTCTATTATGCTTTGCCCTTGCCTTTGTTTCAACAAATCTATCAATGATTCTAATGCTTGATCGATGCCTTCCCCAGTTTTACAACTGATGAGCCATGTGTGTCTGACTCCCAGGGTTTTAGTCAATCTTTCAATTGTTTCCTTCGAAGAAATTGTGTTGGAGGCATCACTTTTGTTGATGATCAAAATGGTGTCGGGAGTGATGGACTCATTTAATATTTTGTGACCGTGGAGTCTTTCAAAGCTTTCGATTTCTGGAAGGGGTAGGAGGCAAATGTGCATATCTGAAGTCGATATCTTGGCCATGGCACGTTTTACGCCTTCCATCTCAATAAGATCGGATGATTCCCGCAGCCCTGCCGTATCGCTTAGCACCACCGGATAGCCACCAAGATTAAGGGACACCTCCACGACATCCCTGGTCGTCCCTGGTATGTCAGAAACAATTGCCGCCTCTCGCCGAGCTTATGACATGTTATAATCCATATCCCTAGTCCATTGTAGTGTCAACACTTCGCACTCACCTAATGTGTTCAGAAAACTACTTTTCCCTGCATTTGGTGGTCCAGATATCGTTATATGAATTCCGTCTCTCAATATCTCTCCAATACGATTATCATTAAGATGTGCCTTTATGGATTCCCGTAATCGTTCCACAATTACCAATACTGTTCAGATTGAAAATTCAAGTCAACAGGTCTCCAAAGTAGTCGTTAAAGGTAGTTACTTCGCTTACCATCGTTCAAGACACCATCCTCTATGTTCTCATCTTCTCCAAAATCTATAACCGCTTCCGTTAGAGCCATGCATTTGATGAGTTGTTCACGCCAACCATCATATTGTTGTCGTAAACTTCCCTGGATTGTTTTTACAGTCATTAGCATGAAATGTCGGGTATATTTTCAGATCAGTGTTAAAGTGATATATACCTCGGCTTGGCGCAAGGCTAGCTTTCTCTGCATTTCAGTTTCTGCATTGAGAAGATCTGCTAAACCTTCCAACTCGGTCAAGTCTAGCTTGTCGTTGTCAAAAGCTCTAGGAAGGCATCAGACCGTTGACCACATCTTAGTAAATCGTACACAATGCTCTTTTCCCTCTTACCTTCGAGAAAATTCACCACGATCAGCAATGCGATATTGGGTTATGCTACCCAAAGCATCCAGTACACTTCTTGTTACCGCATTTCCACCATGGATGTGAAACTCTGCCGTATCTTCTCCTGTATAGCTTTGAGGTCCAGGAAACCAAAGCACAATACCTTTGTCCAAAAGTTCCTTCGAGCTTGGGTGGTATATTTTTTTCAGCACGGCTTGCCTTGGAGCAGGAAGTTTCTTCATGTGAGTCATTTTCAACACTGCCTGGAAGCGAATCAGTCAGAAAGTCTTCTTTAGGACACAATTGGCGTTCCAGTACTTACTTCTTCCGCGTTCTTTCCAGAAATGCGTATCACGGCCACTCCGGCTTTACCTGGAGCCGTGGAGAGGGCAAATATAGTATCTGGTCCTGCTTGGGGCTGGACGTATGAAAAAGCCGGAATGGAGTTCTGACTTGCAAAGAAGCGGCTATGAGCCCTGGGAAAACGTATTGCACAACGAGGATATCGCAGTGGTAACGCAGCAGAGCCAACGTTATATAGTTGTCGTGAAGCAGTACGACATGGCAGCATTGTCTAAAGCTGGGTGTTACTGGCGGGAGGGCAGATCTGACAATCCACTTTTTTTTTTTTTTTTTGTTGCCCTTTTTTCAATATAAATTATTTAGGTGCCGTTAAGTCTTTCATTCATAAATGTCGACAGCTTGGAATGGACGATTATGGAAGCCTATCCTTAGGTGGCAGAATACGCCCACCGTTTGGAAACGGACAATGGCAACAGCAGTCAAAAGCACACCGGAATTGTCCAATCGGCAAAAGTTCAATCAGCTACAGCCGTCTCCGAGTATATTCAGCAAACTCGAAAAGCTAGGATTTGGAGAGTTACGAAGAACAGGGCGGTATGCAGCGTTATGCAAAGTTGTATCCAAGAACAAGGACCAGAAGCAAACATTGGAGCCGAATTATAAGGTATGAGAGCGGTTTGACACTTGGAATGATACTCGCACCAATTGACACTAAGGCAACACATAGTTCCCGCTTTTGCAATTCTTTGCTGGAGCAATGATACCTACTTCCATCCCTGAGGAGACAGTTCCAGAAGTGGCCTTCGTAGGTACGTCGTGAGCAGTGCATAGAATTTTGTCCCAACGTAATCTACGTTTTACTAACACCACTTGATTTTTTGTATCCTTGCATCTTAGGTCGTTCAAATGTTGGAAAATCCTCACTTATAAACGCACTAGCTGAGTCTTCAACTGTGCGAACATCCGACAAACCTGGATTGACACAACAGCTCAACTTTTACTCTGTTGGCCGCTTATTTACCATTGTCGACATGCCAGGATATGGGTTTGCGTTTGTGGATGAGGATAAGCGACGACTTTGGCGAGAACTGGTATGTCACATTGAATTCCCATTTGATCTGATAGACAAAGGCGAAATCAGTAATTAATTGTATTGGTGCTTGTAGATGGAGACGTACATGACCAAGCGATCTACGTTGAAGATGGTTTATGTTACTATTGATGCTCGTCACGGTAAGCACTTGGAAACCCCGTTTTTGAAACAATCATTTGCCTGAGACTAACGCTGCTTGGACTATTGCAGGTCTCAAAGTTGGAGACAAAGATTTTCTCGCAATGCTTGATAAGTAAGTCTATGTCATTTATAGACGATGACCGACTACAATTACTCATTTCTTGCCACTCACTAGAAATAGAGTGCCATTCCAAGTGGTCCTGACCAAATGCGATTTAATTATCCTTCCTACATTGGCCCGCCGGTACATGATGCTGTTGAGTGATGTGAATAATTATAGACACGCTCGTAAAGAGGTTGCCCTGGTGAGCTCACGAACCCAATCTGGCGTCAATCAACTTCGCAAGGAGATCCTGAGGACAGTCGGGAATTTGCGATCGGAAAAATACTACGTTGAAAAAACAGAGCGACAAAAAGCCAAACAAGAGGATCGACGAAAATAAAGTAAAGTGGATAGATGAAGTTCATAGATTGCATTGTAAATAAAGTACATTGGTCGTCGACACTATTCTGAATGACTTGCTCAATGTGGCCATCATGGAATACAAGTATACGTTCCATATTACCACTAACACCTGTACAGCATTACAACAGAGCACGATCCTGAGCTAGAGCCAGTGTATATTGATAGGCTTGGCCGTGTAACCGTATTAATTGGACGATTCATCCACTAGAGCGCCTCGCCCATAAACTACCACGGTGATATTCTTTTAGCAGTTTCTATTTTCGTCATGGTGACAAGTTGTTGGGCCATTGAACAATCGCTGTTGTGCTGCAATTTAAACGTTTTTGTTGATTTTTTCTATATACGGGTATATCCGAGCGTATAGACATTTTCATGTACAAAAAAATGACAGGGCTACATGTTGTAACCCTAGAGAGGGGAGAAAAAATATGATACAAGAAAGACAGATTGAATATGTTCAAGCCATACGTCTAGAATGATGGACTGTTTCAGAAAGTGAAAGCAATCCGGGTGGTGGCAATACATGACCATGAGGCAAATTTCTCAACGGCGGTAGTATTGGCAATTCGTGTCGAGGATAATGGCCAGTTGAGGTTATCTCTTTCAACGTACAGAGTGGAGGAGAAGGAAATGGCGACAGTGGTGCAGACGTGGGAGTGCCTATGGTTGGATGCCAGCCATCACTGGCTCTGGCACTACCATGGCTTGAATGTGGGCTGCCAGACGAGGTGATGGTAGGGAATAGACTAGGGCTGAAAGCTTCTGTTGGAGAGCCGTGCGACAGAGGCGGAGATACGGAGGGCGAGGAATGCATGTAATGGGGACTGTCCTGACCCGACTGTCTATGCCTGTTTTGACGATTGCTGGCTACTTCACATTGTGCTTTTCGTTTATTTGACCTATGGCAAACGTTAGTTTCATGGTCAAGTAATGAGCGGCAGTATTGGAAGATAATTACGTTTGCAGACTATTTTCTTTACGAATACGAATGCGAGCTCCTTGATCATAGAAAGAACGAGACAAGAAAGTTGGCTCCATGGCACCTGGATAAGCCTTTGCAGTATATATCATAAATGGAGAGGATATGATAGACATAACGTTGATGACCTTGGCGCTATAAAAACAAATCAGTGGTCAATGGCGAGTATCTCTTCACAGCTCGAAAGGAATGTGTACGTACTCTTGAATTTTAAACAGAGTAAACTTGAGACGAAACTCGCCTTCTGCTTTGACTGATAAGTCTCCGAAGACACAATAAGCGCCATCTAGAGGTAGAGGAATGTTTGAGTATATGAGTGAGATAGAATCTTCTTAAAGTTCGAACCGACCTTGATTGTCGATGTCTTTCAACTTATACATGGCCGATACCACTTGACCGGCTAAGGCGGGATGGTGCGGTGTATAGACTTTTGAATCGTTCGTTGGATGCACCAAGTTAGCACACATAAAGTAGTTTGGACTTTGTAGCCAGTTGCTGAGAAAAGACAAATCCACATTAGCGCCAAAAAATAGATTCAACCGAACGGAGTTCTCGGATTTCCACTATACTATACCCTTCGTTTTCAGCTGAAACACCATTCAAGCTTATTTGCACAATTGGAGGAGGTTCGATGACTCGTCGTTCTATCAGCGAAGGTACGATGTGAGACTTTGGTGAAGCACTAGGTATGCTATTCTCTATTATATCCTACCCCTTTCATTTCCTGTGCTTAATCTGGCTTGTTCAGGGTGTTGTCTGATATTCAGGTTGAATTGTCTAGATTTAAATTGTGTAGTCAGCAGCCGTTGATAAACAGATGGTAGTAGGAACCGGAGACATGCATACGAGAATCTTTCTGGTTGATATGGTATATCCTTAATATATTTAAAGGATGCAGGGTTACGCTCTGGCATCCTGGACTTTTGTCACAAGAAAAGAAACAGAAGAAGAGTTCTTGGAGTTGGGAATCAAAAAAAAAATATTATCAGATTTTTGCGCAAGCGGAGATGGGACTGGTACACAACTGGTGAGAAAAGGTTTATCCTGCCGGCGAGATGCATTGTGAAAGCAGAATTTGATTCTCAAGTGGATGAATGAATTCTATCTTTGACTTACTGAGATGTTTTAAAAGCCAAGTTAACGTCGACGATCCTTTCTGCGTTGCTTAGCCACTCAGCAAGATTCTCCAGAAATCTTCCGCCTTATTGCTGAGCTTGAAAGAATCTGATAACACACCCGATCAACCTGATCGGGTGACATGAACGGTGTCTGCTTGAGTTACAAGAATGACATCGAAAGCTTCCTTTTTTCAAATGTCACAAAAACACCTTCTCCTAACCATCATCCCCATTTCTACGCTCGATGTAGTAGTTTACTCCATGTAATGTATACCCACAGCCGCCAGATTCAGCTTGCTTGCGTCCATCTGCAGTACTTTAGTTTATCAGATTTCTTGGCTGGCTGTAAGGGGGCAAATAAGACACAGAAGTATTTTTTATTTCAGTATCCGGTATTTCCACATATGCAATTCGCACAAGAATGTGGGCCCACTAAAGGCAATTGGGCAAACTTGATGTTAGACTTGATATCCTATCGTAAGGTAACACTGCGGCTAATATTACTATGTTATTTGGATTGAGGCACTCTCTGTCATCTTTAAGGCTATAGTTTAGATGAGAGCAAGGAAGACATTTTTTCATGCATTGCAAAGAACAGTAGATACTTGCAGATGGTTGTACAATGGTGACACAGAGAGGAAATGAGTCCCTCATAACCAGCAATTGTGTCATAGATCACGACTGCTAATGCATGAAGTGGCATCCCAGTTTTGCTGACGTCTGTGTAAAGTTCACCCGAGCACATTTCGAAAATACTCAGATCAAAGTTTCAATTGAACAACACGTGAATAAGATTAGCTCTCTCTCACTGCTCTGAGATGATTCTCTCGCCCAGGTACGAAAGCTTCTAATGATCTGATGGGTTGCCAGCGGATGATGCGAATATTTCCATAACCTCGAGTTGAAGCCAAAGACTTTTAATTCTCGAAATGGATGGGATCAGCAACCGACATTATCCATCAACACACGTATAGCCCCCTGTTGGACCACCGTATGGGCGAAAAGAAAGTGGCATGGAGTGAAGGTTGCCATGGCTCGCCTATCCACCGAATGGAACACAAAGTTTGAAGCTAATAAGTTTAGAGCTTATGCAATTTACGGCGGGATTCCATCTCATTTCGATCACTGGCTGAGCGTGATGTCAATTTTTTTCGCGCTGCCACATTTTAACACCCTGGTTGCACTAAGCAATCGGAACACACGTCGCGTATCCTAGCGGCGATTGGTACCTGAGGTTCCAGCCGTTGGATGTGACTATGCAGCTAGCTCTCACATTCCCTGACTGGATGATTAAGGTTTTCGGCACTTTGTTATGGCGGGAAGTAACGATGCTGAATAAGCTTTTTACTCCTTAAGGATACGAGAACGTTATTTGCCAAGAAATCTCAACCAGGCAGCATTCAGTTGACTAACCGCATGATGAGAGACGAGAACCTAGAACCCTTGAGGGGCTCCGCCATGACGTTGAGATTTAATCTCGTTTACTAGGATGACTAGCCGTCGGTAAAGGCTGTCGTGACATCAATGGCCACATTTTTTTTTGCACGACACAAATTTTTTGTTACAAGTAACAAAGCCCGAAAGCTTTAGACTACTTTTTTATATGAAAATGAAAAATTCTATTGTGATGAAGTAGTAGATTTCTATTACCGTACTATCTACAAAGGAATGTGGCGGATATCGCAGATGTGTATCAAACGGAAGGCGTATTAGCCACTTAAATGGGGGGAAATGGATCGGTGGAGATATGAAAAAGAAAAAAAGAAAGCGCCTGGAGATATATGTATCAATAAATGTTGGATTTTTGTTCGGTTGAAAAATCGTAGGTCTGCAGTAGAGGGCAAGACTTCTGGAAGGCCAACGTGGTGAGTTCGGAGATCCGAGTTTGACCTCTACATACCACGACTTTCATTCGAGAACACGATTGAGCGAGAATCGTTAGAGATTTGTCGGTGATCTTATTACTTTGCACTATGCCGTGCGGTAGGCTAATGATCAACTCCTCCAGGTCGAGGCAATGGTCAGCTAATGCCAGAATGGCAGAGTCTGAAATATTGCCACTATGCTGCAGGTTGAGGCGTCGGAGACGTGTATGAGTTCGTGAGATTTGTATTATGACGGCGTCGTTGACCGAACAATTAGATAAATCCAGCTTGGTTAAAATAGAAGATATGCTGCTACGTGTCAAAATTTGTATTAAGGCAGCTGAGCAATACTGTGTACATGAAGACATATTCAGCTCTTTAAGAGACGAAATATGGCGCTCAACAAGCGCAGGTGGCAAAGCCAACAATTGACTGGTGTTCAGTGTGTCGAAAGGCAAGGATGGTGCAGTGAAGAGGATTGATAAATCAGCGGTCTTCACCTGCGCTGCAGATTCTTGATCCAGCGCCGAAAAATCATATCCAGTGATCCAAGCATAGTAATATGGCAGATGTTGGCTGCCCTTATTGCACGTTTTGGATTCCGATGAAAGCTGGACGATGTGTGTCAATTTTTCCACGGCTCCCAGGCTATTTGGTCGAGGGCATTTCCAAACCGCTTGTAGAGAATGAATGGTAGCCCTTCCACAAGCCAAACCCAATGATATCAAATCAGAGTTACTGGGTATATATTCTACCAAGACACGAAGGATATCAGGTGGAAGTGTTTTCTTGCGTGGCATGGACATGTTAAGGATGGGGTATTAGGAAGGTCGTCGTTTGCTCCACAAATGATCCACCTTCATTCAGAAAGAGAGGGAGAAAGAGAAAGAGAAAGAAGGGGAGGAGGAAGAAAATGGATGCAGAAATAACAGAATTTTTCATTCAGCCATCTGAGTATATCATTGGATCCACCGTCTTGTGGCGAGCATCATCAACCCACGACAGTGCATTTGGGCTTGTTAGCTGAGTCTAGCATAACCGGTTTGGTCAAAAAAAAATTAAAACCACACGTTCCCCTCCCTCCTTTCCAGCACCCCGCTCACCAAAACCCGAAAGTGTCAATTCGTCAAGTTCGCTTGGAAGCTATCTTAATTCTCAGTTCTCCAGCATCTCGGTTCGTGAAACCATTAAATATCAGCGTGAAATTCACAAACAAGGAAGCAGTATCAATGTAACCCTGAACGCCATGCAGAAAACGTGAAGTATCACGTCACATAGGAGGTAAAAAAAAAAATCCTCAAAGCCGCGCAGTACACACGACGTAAGTAAAATAAGTCGATTGCGATAAGCCAATGACAGCCCATCACAGGAACATGGTTTGCCGAGCGTTTTCGTATTCATTCCTAAAGCTTCGTCGCCACATGACCATAAGGAAAAATAAAAAAGAGAAGAGGTCAATGGCTTCGGTAAGAAAAAGTTATCAAATCAGGCTAGTTGCGAAACTATGGTATGGCTTACAAGGAATGACAAATATTGGGATGGAGAGAGTGTTAGCGAGTGAGAGTTATGAGATGATGGTAGAGGTATGTAACCAAGTTGGCTTGTATGGTGGATGTTCCGGCTAGACAGTAGGCGGGTTTTCAACCTAGGGAAATATATCATGAGCATGGAAGCAAACTAATCGATGTGATAGCTCGAACGTTTCACACACGTCTATTCTCCGCTTGGCTGAGAATGATGTTTAATGGCAACGGTGTGTTTGGAAAAAATTGGAATACCTTTTAACGAATGGACCAAATTAAAATGACATGAATCGATATAAAGTACAGCTTGCTCTTCACACAGCTCTCATATATACTTTTTTCAAACTACTACTTCGTAATAAACAAGTTAGGAAATATGCGTACCGCCATCATCTGTTCAATTGCTTGTGCCATGCTGGTTCTCCAAGCTGAAGCTCAGGCTCAACCTGCTGCAATTACAGGTAAGGCGATAGAGAGATCACCCATCCGATCACCCTAACTTGTTTACAACTCCCCCCACTGATCAACTGTTTATGTTTGGGTGCCACAGTTACTAGGTATACCACTATTACACAATACGAATATACTGGTGAGTTACCCCTTTTGTTAACGATCTGATGAGTGGAAGAAAAAATTGGCTGACTTTTGTTTTTAATGCAGGTGTTCCGCAGTCCCAGCCTACCGCTGGTCCCGATGGTGAGGGTATGGGGGCTAGTGCTAGCGTAGATGAAGACTCCGTGATGGCCTCTGCTACTGTCTCTGGTAAGGCGGCCAAAGAAACCTCTGTGGATGCTTCAGAATCTGGCATGCCTTCCATTGAAAGAATTGCTAAGGACAAGGACATGAAGCCTACTGCTTCTGTCAACCCCAACGTCAGCGTGTCTTCCAGTGGCACTGCTCTGTTCACCTTCACACCCCTTACTTTGGCTCCAGAAAAGAGCAAGGCTATGGCATCTGCTAGCAAGTTTGCTGTGGACCCCCGACCCTCTGTTACCAGACCCAACACCAGTGGCGCTGATGTTTTGTCAGCTAGCAAGCTTGCTGTTGCTGCCATCGCTGCAGTTGCTGGTTTGGCAGTGTTGTAAATGGTGGTCTAGCAAATCCTCTCTCTCTTTCCTCAAGCTAGCACCCAATGAAACCTCGCAGTTCACCTGTTCCATAATAACCGTCCACTTTCTATCATCTGTATACTAATCGAAACTTTCGGATCACTTTATGTCAATAGTCGTAGCACAAACAACGATCGCCGAAAAGCCTTCCAAACCACTTAACCTTTTAATAAATGTTGGTTTTTTTTTAAATATTCCCGCACTGGAGAAAAAGTTTGTTTGCCTACGCCAGTGTTGCTTGGCAATGATCAACAATAAGATTTCTTCCATTACAACGTAGTACCACGCCAGGAATGTTTCATAAGCAACTTGATAAATGTTAGCAAGTTTTAATAGATTTATGTTGGGCAGCATTCATGTTAATGCTCATGCCATCCTCAATAACACTGAGATAGTATTTATTTACACAAAAAAATGAGGTGAATGGGGTACAATGTGATGCAATGAGAGTATAGATAATTAGAGATATGGTTAGAGTCTAATACCTTCGACTAGCTGTTATGGAGGAGCTTGGCGACGAGGATGCAGTTCATTATTAGCAAGGGCAGATACACAGATTTCATCCCATAATTCACGAGGTAGAAGCTTGTGGGCAAGAGATTCCATAGAGACCTTGTCGTTTAATAACCTTTGCCTATATTGGTATTTTTGAGGTATGTCAGTCAAATCAACACAATGCGATATCACTCCGGACATTTTGGCACCTACCTTCGCATCAGACACTCTACATCCGTCTCCTGAATCATTGTCCGCCCAGCATGACCAGCATACACCGATAAATCTTCAGAAGCTTGTGCAAAAAATTGGTGCGATCTGCAGATTCAGAAATGATCAATCCATCGTTGCTTTAGATGATCACCCTAGCTAGCTGTAAACGTCACTCACGCTTCCATGACTGTTTCTAATGCTTCTCGCGAAACTTTGGTCCTTGAGAAAGACGAAAACAAATCTTTGATCAAAGCTTTGGGAAGATTTGGAACTACTACTCCGGCTTCCGAAACCCTTAAAGAAATAACCTTGTCAGTTCAAGTTGGCTAAGGAGAAAATAAACAGCCAAATACCACTCCTCACTTTTGCGCTGGTGCTTTGTTTTCTCTCCGTAACTGATCAACTTCAGCTCCACTTCTTGCTGCTAATTGCGCCAACGTCACTTGAACCAACGGCCGATCAGGTTCTGGTATAGGCGATTGTGGCTGTAGCTTGGGGCGCGAGGAGCTATACAAATGGAAGACAAAAGGGGTGGACGGAAACGACAAATTAGTGACCAGTCGATCGATCGTCCTCAAGCTTCCCAAATCAAACAACTCACCCGTGCATCCCGCTAACTCGGTTTTCCAGTTCATCGATCGGTGCAAACCCTAATTGAGATAGCCGTGCTCTGGTGTAAAGTACATATACAATTTAGTGGAAGACTTCAAATGGTGCCTGTTTGTTTTTACCCAACATTCATTAAGTGATACGAACTGCTTTGATTCCATATGCGCTTGTTTGGCATGGTCGTCGATTTCCTCATCCACTTCATAGTCATCTCCCTCACCTATTTGTGGATCAAAATCAACTGGCATGTCATCCTCGTGTTCCAAAGTTGGAGATGGAGTAGACTGCGTAGGCACCTTTGTTAGCGCTTCCCTATTCGATACAAACATGATTAGTATACAATAAAAATAGACAACATAGTTTCAGAAATAAAAAATTATTGACTAACGGTTGTTCTTCCTTGGCCGCTAGCTCGTTATGGACTGGCATAGTTAAATCTATTTCATCTGACGATTCTCTGGAGACCTTTTGCTGGTGTTCACCACGATGTGCTTTAGAAGTCGCAACGTCGTCGTCCATCGATACCTCTTCCTCCATCAACTCATCTTCATCTTCCCACATCGAATCTCCAAATGTAGCATCACTATTGTATGTCAATCTTCGTTGTTTTTCAACTTCATCGCTGCTTAAGAAACCTCTACGATTTCGATGGTGACGAAACCCGAACTCAAGAGAGTCACGAACAAAAGTCTTTTCGTCTTCATCCAATAGTTGAAACCGTGCATGCATTTCATCTATGCTCATATCGGGTAGAATACTTTCTCGGCCACCTTGAGGTGTCTCTGGAAAATGGGTATCATCATCTTGCCCAACTACATCCGCTAAATTGTGATCCATTTGATCCTGTCTTGGCGTAGGGCTGGGGTCTTTTTGAAAATCAGGCACTACACATGGACTATTTGTTAGTAAATTGGTTCTATTCAGTCCGACTTGTTTCATTTTTGGGGGTCTTACTTCGAGTCAAAAGTCGTAAAAGATCACTGGGTGTACGAATGTCAGCGAGTCTATTTACGCGCGCTGGCGTCTCAATGACTTTTAGTAGACTTCGTGCTCTGTACGTCTGTCCGGAAAATGCTGTGTTTCTAAAAGAGCTACGTCTTGGCGTTCCGGGTAAGAATCCCGACAGCTTGCGATTATTGAGGGACCGTCGAGGTGTGCGTGGTCCTCTGCTTGGTGTGTTAGGAGTGAGGTGACTTTGACGTGACAAGCTTTCCGGTGGGTTAGCACCAGGAGCTATCATTCTCGCGAGGGTTTGAAGAAGGTCAGAAGGAGATTCTTGAACTTGCTGTGATGTACCGGTTTTTTCTCGTCCTGGTGTGCGTAAAAACGACGTACGACGACGGTCGAACGCTTCACTCGATCGGCCAGTATCAGCCAAGACGCGAGTGACATCACTAGCATTGAGGGCAATAGTACGCCTTCTCGAAGTTCTTATCGGTGTGCTAACGGAAGGGTTGCTTCTTACTTCACGCGTAATGGATGCTGTAACATTGTGTTGAATGGTGGAACGTCGCCGTTTACGAGACGATGGTGAGGATTCAGGAAAATTGAAGCGGGAAGGGGTTTGATTGATGCGGCCAGCCGAGGAAGGGGTTTGTGGTATGGATGGTGATCGCGGTGGCGGAGTCCTAGGTGGCGAACTATTTGGATCTAGAGTGTCCATGTTGGGGTTTCGCGACGAAGAGGTGAATTCCACAGTTTATGGAAGTTTTATGCGGTGGAAGGAAATTTGTCCACGCGACAGAAATTCAGTCAGTCGGACTGTATGAGGCCGTTCGTTGTCAATGAAACGTAGTCGTCGTCGTCTACCGTATTGTACCCTGCTCTTACTTGCTTCTTATTTAGCGTGGATTGTTCATGATTTACTATAATAGTGTTCTACAGAAGTAGTTGCTCATTCTGGCAGCTGAATAGGCAAAACAAGCTCTGGGAAGCGCGATGTTATCCAAACGCATCATATAGAATTCTGAGCATACTTTGTAATGGGCAATCTCTTCAACTCTTGATACTAAACAGTTGAGATTAACACTTCTTTTATTTCTGTTAATTACCGCGTTTATCATACCATAGATGCATCGCGACTTTTTACATATTGAGAGTCTTAGTTTCTAACGGAAAATTACCGAACATTGACCTGCTGACGTCACGTAAATTTGACAGACTGCGACTTTTCTTTAAGGCTGCGGCTTAACAAAGGAAGTGCCAGTCATTCAATCCTTCACATCAATCAATGGCGGACGTTGCTCCAGCTGGGTAGGCATTAACACTCCTTAATCGTGACCTCTATATTCATCAACTTACACTTTGTTTTGCTAGATCTGTCGATTCTTTCAGTCGCTCTCGATCTCGCTCGAGATCCCGTTCAGCTTCTCCCGTTCGACGCACCAATGGTGGTGACCGTTATAGAGATCGATCACCACCACCACGGCCACTTATTAATGATCCTGATCCGATCCGTCGACGCGAGAGAGAACGACAGCTCATGATGAGACAGGAAATGTCAGCTACCAATCCACCAGCAAAACGCAAAGTTGATCCTGCGGAAGAGATGCGAATCGCTCAAACTACCACTAAAGCTGGAGGTGCTTATATCCCTCCTCACAAACTTCGACGAATGCAACAGGAGATATCAGATAAAAGTAGCAACGAATATCAGCGTATCACATGGGAAGCTTTGAAGAAGTCTATCAATGGTCTCATCAACAAAGTTAATATCACCAATATCAAAATGATCATACCAGAAGTTTTTGGAGAAAACCTAGTTCGGGGAAGAGGACTATACTGTCGAAGTATTATGAAGGCACAGAGCGCCAGTTTACCATTTACATCGGTGTATGCTGCTCTGACCGCGGTCATTAACACCAAATTGCCCTCTGTTGGCGAATTATTACTGACTCGACTGGTTGTCCAGTTTAGACGAGCATTCAAGCGAAACGACAAGGTTAGTAGTATCTCCACCTGACAAATCACATACTTTTGTTACTGATTCTTTCCTTCGCACAGACTGTTTGCTTGGCAGTAACCAGCTTCATTGCTCATCTCACCAATCAACTTGTCGCCCACGAAATTCTATCTCTTCAAATATTGGCATTATTACTGGAGCGTCCCACCGATGATTCTGTCGAAATTGCTGTAGGATTTATGCGTGAAGTTGGCGCACATCTCGCGGTTGTTTCACCCAAACCAAACAATGCTATCTTTGATCGCTTCAGAGCCATTTTGCACGAAGGTCAGATCGATAAACGAACGCAATATATGATTGAAGTATTGTTTCAAGTACGAAAAGACAAATTCAAGGACAATGTTTCGATTGCTCAGGATTTGGACTTGGTAGAGGAAGAGGATCAAATCACTCATTATATTGGATTAGACGATGATGAACTCGAAACTCAGGAAATGTTAAATATCTTCAAATTCGACCCTGAGTACCAAGAAAACGAAGAAAAATACGCCTCTATCAAAGCCGAAATTTTAGGCGAAGGTAGCGACGCGGATGATGAGAGTGGAGATAGCGATGACGACTCTGAAGAAAGTGAAGACGAGGGAGAGGATGAAGAACAACAAATTCAACAAAAATTACAAATTCAAGATCGTACCAATGCAGATGTCATTGCCCTGAGAAAGCAAATTTATCTCACCATCATGTCGTCTGTGGATTTTGAAGAATGTTGCCACAAGCTTATGAAATTGAATATCCAAGAGGGCCAAGAGGTATGTACATTTTGGCTGGACAATCCTATTTGCTGCCAACACTAAACCCATGTATTTTTTCTTAGATTGAACTGTGCAATATGATCATCGAATGTTGTTCTCAAGAACGCACTTATCTCAAATTCTACGGACTTATGGGAGAACGATTTTGCAAACTTAATCGTTCATGGGGTGAAGCGTTTGTTCAATGCTTTACGGATGTGTACGAAACTGTCCACCGATACGAGACCAACCGATTGCGCAATGTTGCTAAATACTTTGGACACTTGTTCTCAACCGACTCTCTTCCTTGGACCTGCTTCGAAGTTATCAAGCTGAATGAAGAGGATACCACGTCGGCTTCTCGTATTTTCATCAAAATTCTCTTCTTGGAGATCAGCGAAACCATTGGCCTTAAAACTCTCAAGGAACGCTTCAAAGATCCTTATTTGCAAGAAAGCTTCCAGGGCATGTTCCCCAAGGATAACCCGAAGCACACCCGTTTTGCTATCAACTATTGGACCTCCATTGGACTTGGTGGTATAACAGACGACCTCCGTGAATGGCTCCGCAATGCACCCAAGATGATTATGCGCCGTCAAGCTGAGAGTGACAGTAGCAGTGGTAGTGATAGCGATTCCGATAGTAGTAGTGGTAGCAGCAGCAGCGGTAGCGACACCGGTAGTAGTAGCAGTGGTTCGAATAGTGACAGCGACTATTAAAAGAAAAATAGCCTTGTCATTTTTATATAAAAAAAACCAAGATATACGTTTTATCTCTACTGGTTCGCTTCTTATCACACGACTCCATGTGCATGTCCCGTCACCTTACCTCTTATCGCGTGTGACACTGACTTATTGTTTGGGTCTGAGCGTTTAAAAGGATGCTATTCTATATTTTCTTCTACAGACCAGTTCTTTCTGCAGGTTTGTAATGGCTTTCCAAATTATTACTAAGTTGACCTGGATCAAGCGTGGAAATCCCCGGTTGACGTTAGTCGGGGTAGAAAACAATGAGACAATTTTTTTTTATAGCCTTGTATCCAACTCTGAGAGTATTTTATCCAATGCGCTATTTGCTTCTTCTCATTCCTACTGCTCATTGCAATTCGCTTCTCTAATTCACCGTTTGCCTTGTAATCGCAGGCTCAGTGTTCTCTTTAGCCCTGCATGACAAGCAAAGTCATTCTGTCTTCCAACTATGGATCTATTCACCACGAGACCACCAGCCAACCTGTGAGAGCCTCAACTCCCTTGATATGATTTATTGCCCTACCAATTAATTGATTTGATGCATTCCAGCTACCTCGGACTGTGTTTAGTACCTTTGCAACGTTTGGATTAGCCTTTACCAACATTGGTATCTTGTCCAACCTGTCTGCTAGTTTTCAGACTGGCATTCTTAGTGGCGGACCGGTGACCATGATCAGTAGCTGGAACGTTGTGGCGTTCTTTATGTTGTGCATTGCTTTATCACTAGCTGAAATATGCTCGGCGTATCCATTCAATGGTATATACTACTGGGCATATGAGCTGGTCAAGCAAGGTGGTGGAACCAAAAGCGGCAAGGCTGCTCCGTTTGTGTAAGTTGACAGCGACAGAACCCTTATCGGTTTTTGACAACTTCCTCATTCCCTTTTTCGTAGCGCCTTCGTTACAGGCTGGATTTACTGTCTTGCTATGATCATTGCTGCTGGATCGGCAGATCTTTCCGTAGGTTAGTGTAGGGAGTGCAAATCGCTTGTTTTTGGTCTGCTATTGACCTATTATGAACCAACAGCTCTTGCCATTGCTTCTATGATAAGAATGATGTCGGATGGCGCTGTCGATCTATCTATGACAACCACCCTCATACTGGCTATTGCAATTTTGCTTAGCCACGCTTTGCTCAATGTATGGAACATGCAATTGATTTCCTTACTCAATGAAGTCAGCGTGTGGTGGTCCTGCGGTGGTCTCGTCGTTATCTGTGCTATTTTAGCCGCTTTCACTCCACAGCACAATGACGTCTGGTGGGTTTTGACTGATTATGAAAACTATACTGGCTTTTCCAGTGTATCTTATGTGGTCATGTTGAGCATGGTGTGCGCTGCCTACACGCTCTTTGGTACGTGAAGCGTTTCTTCGCTTTTCCATGGTTCAAAAGCAGGGTCTTCATTCCATTTTAACCACCGGAATTTTTTTAAGGTTGTGAATCTGTTGCACAGGTGGCGGAGGAGACGGAGGAAGCGGACAGCGCCGCCCCCTTGTGAGTATTCTCACAGCTTTGGAGATAAGTCAATCAATAACCAGTTACTAATATCCAGTGATTCATTAGCGCTATGGTAGCGTCCATTGCGGTGTCCTGGTTCGTCGGGCTTATCTTTTTGTTCATACTTCTTCTCTATACCCAAGATATTCAGAGCATCGAACAAACCCAGTTTGAAATGCCAATCGCACAACTATTCTTGGTACGTACACCGTATGGGGGAATGATGGCCAGTCAATTATTCTGACTTTTACTGAATGAACTACGTCCAATCTTAGGATGCTGTAGGGTCTCGTTGGACAATGGTTTTATTGGTTGTTCTGGTGGTATCACAGTACTTTACCGGTTGCACGACAATCACCCTAGTGTCCAGATTGATCTTCTCACTAGCAAGAGATCATGCCGTTCCTATGTCGGATAGACTCTCACATGTCAACGACAAAGCAATTCCTGATAATGCAGTGTATGCAGCCACGGGATTTGCCATCTTCTTCATATCGCCCTATCCGTTTAGTGATTTTGTTTTCAATGCTGTGTTGAGTGCCACCACCGTGACAGCTAATTTAACCTATGGTAATTCTCGACTTTTGATGGGTATAGTTTTTGCTCGTATCTAATGTATCTTTTCTTTAGCCATCGTCTTACTGTGCAGGCTCATAGTCCCCATCAAGGTGAGAGGACGGTTCAGCTTAGGAGCTTTTTCAACTGTAATCACCGCTCTAGGATTCATCTGGACGATTTTCGCTGTGGTTGCCTTTATTCTTCCTACTCGATGGCCAATCACGGTCGATAATTTCAATTACGCTAGCTTGGGAGTGACAGGCGTCATCTTGTTCACCCTACTGAATTGGTGGTTTTGGGCTAAAGATCAATATCATGGTCCAACAGCTCATGTCAACCTCAATCATGTGTACATACCAGCTACTTCGGTAGCATAGTTTTCATTACTATCTCTTACAAGAGACCAAAACATTCGTTTTGGCTGGTTTTTACTTTGTATGTAATAAATTTTAAGTGAGAGAGGCGTGGTTTATAGTTTAATTATGATAGGCATTTTTACAAAGATCTCAAATGGAGTAGAAGCTCAACTTAGCGACATCTAGAACGTTGGTGCAAGTTGTGTTGGTAATCTCGCCCTACACCGCTCCTGACTTCCAAAAAATACTTACATGTAACATTCCGTGAGTCTCCTGGAATGACTTGATTCGTTTTACTGTCAATAGACGACACATTGCAGTCAGGAAAGAGCAAGGGTATGGCTGGTATGAAGTCATCCACTTTGGCCATGTACACTTTATCAAAGTCAAACCCTCTATGAGCCTGCAACATACTTCGTTAAAGCTCAATCTGTGCGTTACATGGTATGTTATCAGTCTTACCGTTGTGATATAACATCCAGATAGGTCGAAGACGCTCTCTTTCACAAGCTCCAATGTAATGGAGTTGAGGTCGTCGTATACTGTGAGCTGATTCGGTACTGCGTGTACCTTGTAGAACTTGGGGAAGCCTTTGAACCCAGCATCGAACACAACGGCCGACGGCCCTGAACTAAAGCTCTGTGTTTGATATGACGGCTTTATAAATGGAAACTTCGATCTGACGCAGACCTAACCAAGGTGGGTTAATCGACGTCTACCGCGAAGAACGTAAGCAGAAGCTACTGGTACCTGATTCTGAACTTCGTATTGCAACCCTTCTTTGAGAAGCTTCGAGGCAATTGGTATGCAAGCATCTGAGGGCACAACGGCCGCTGAGAATACAGTATCGAGTCTGCCTAATATAAATAAAGCGGGTAAGGCCAAACTGAGCTTCATGTCAGCACTAACAGAGAACAAGGTAAAACATTCATGTCTTTCTTCTAGCCATTTTATATAATGGACCAATGCATAGAATTGGGTAAATTTAGGTATGCCACCATCAGTATTCTCACAACCTTATTTATTCAACTGCTAGGTATGATGCACTCGAACCACCGGCATGGATTGAGCTAGGAAGTAAAGATCATGAAGAAAAAATAACAAAGGTCAGTCGAATTCAGAAATAAACCTTTTGCATCGCGAAATCGAACAATCTAATAAATGTAATAAAATACTGTCCGGCAGACGAACGAAATGTCGTTATTGATAAGCCATTTTTTATTTTAATCATGATGCTGCTGTAGCATAACATGACATAACATAACGTATTACAATAGTATTCATCTTTAGCTATATCCGTTGCCTACAGGAAGGTGGTTGTGTTGATGCGACTAGGGGTCTACAACGGATTGGCATATACTGATCAGCATGTATGTCTCATGTACTAGCACGAACAGCCTTCCCAGCACTTACCAGAATTTTCACAAACTCTTCATAGTTCACTCTGCCATCGCCGGAAACATCGGCCGCATGGACCATCTCCTTGATCTCTTCCTCTGGCATTCTCTCACCTACATTCCAGCGGCATATTTAGTATAGCGTTCAGAAAAGCTTAGAGTGAAATTTGCCACTGACTTACCCCTGGATGCCATATAATTTGCAATATCTTGGACGGTGATGCTCCCATCCTTATCACTGTCCATGGCTTCAAAAACTTCTACAAATGCAGCTTCATGTGATCCTTTTGCTTTTTGCTAAGAATGAGGGAAAATACAAAAATTTGCATTTAACGATTAGGGCGGTGACAGATTCCAATACATCCGGTGTTGTGGCACTGATGCTTGCTTGTTTCCTAGCACCTGGTGGCGCATTCACTTACATTCTCAAGGAGAGCCAAAAAATCTTGAAAATCAACTCTGCCTTTGCCGTGCTTATCAGCACTGCTTATCATCCTCTGTACATCTTCGTCGCTGTAGATTTTACCAAGAGCTCTCATGGCTTCCATCAACTCGGTAGCAGTGACACCTTTGCTCTCTGGGTCCAGCGTTTTGAAGCATTCCCTAGCTTCCTCAATCTCAAATTCGTTTAGGGGTTGATGTGCCTTTTATTTTTCGTCCAATTTATGTTAAGCAGTGTTGTTTGATTGTACTTCGCTGTTGTGAGGATTCCACTCACCATCGCCATTTTGATCGGTCAGAAAGTCTTGAAAGAAGTCGTGAATGGAGAAACCAGGATATCTGAAATTCTTGTGCGATATTAAATGGCACGTTGCATATTAAGATTCTGTCTGCACAATTTTGGAGCCGTGAGTATGACTTCAATTCGAAGCTTGAGAAGCCCAACCCACCTACCAAAATTGAAACTTTTCAAGACTTGCGTTCCATTTTTGACTTTCATGGACGGGTTGGAGCACCCAGGAAATCCATATAAATGTCAGGCCGTACCATAGCGTTTTCAATCATGATAGAGCGGTTTGGGCATGCCAAAATGTATTGGCCTGATAAGTGTCCTTTACAATGCGACGTACCCAAAACAAACAATAGATAGTAGAATTATATTTCGCTGAGTTCATCAAAAAATCTTATGGTATACGATGGAGTCCTATGTTACGATATGTAGGAATATTCTTTGAATTCACTGGGCATCTATATTTGTGACGATCTTAACATCGAAACGTCGCTGTAATATCGACACCACGACTCTTCCTTGACCGTGAAGCACATTTTAGAATCAATTTATTCTCTAAAATATTCTATGATATTACTGGCAGCCAAACCTTTCAAAAAATTGCATCTCCCCTCTGAAACTCCAAAATCTGGTAGGCGGGGATTTGACTTGGATTTTGTGTGTGCGGCAAGCGTTTTCAGATGAATTTTACGAATGTCGGATGCTCAAAATAAGGTCAGCATGGTAGCTAGGCTTATATCACCATTTATTAAGCACAATCAACACCTATTGTTCAACACAATCACACACTTCATTCAGGAACTCTATATACTAAAGCGCTACCATCCATTAGTATGTATTATGTCTTTTAGTGCAGGATAACGTAGAACTCACTGCGCGAGGTGTCCAATTTTGTGTGACTGGTAATCTTTGAATTCTGACTGCCAAAAAAAGAAAGAAAAAAAAAAAAAGTTCAGACAACAACCTTTAGTGCCTACTTCAGAATTAAAGGAAAATGTCCATGCAAGTTGCAGCCCGCGCACTTGCAAGACCTAGCCGTCTTTTGTGTTTGAAGACCACTGTACAGAGATTCTCAACCACGCCCCATGCTCTCAATGGAGTGTCCCGGCTTGGACATTCAGCTGGTAAAGCTTTTTCTTATACCCCTGATAAACTTTTTTGGCAAGAGACTAATGCCCACTTGCTTTTTCCCTTGGTATGACAGTTTTCAGCACTTTCGGCAAACAAAGAACGTTGACCAGCGCCATTTATCAGTACAGAGCCGCCAAGTCCGCCTTCCATACCTCCGTTAAAGCTGCTACGGCTACTGCCGATGTTGCTGAGGTTATCGATGCCGCTATTGCTCAAGATACCCCCAAGAACTTTGATGATATCAAGCACCTTAATCCATTAACACAGCAAGCTCTCGACAAAGTGTTCAAATACAAGGCAATGTCCAAGGTTCAGGAAGCTGTTCTTGAACGTTTGCCATTGGAGAGGGACATGTTCGTCAAGGCAAAAACTGGAACCGGAAAAACTCTTGCTTTCCTTATACCAGCTTTGGAGTCTTCCTTTGGAGGTCAGGACTTCAAGGATATCAAGAAGTCCGTTGGTACCTCTATCCTGATTGTATCACCTACTAGAGAATTGGCCCAACAAATTGCAGAAGAGGCACGCAAGTTGACCAAGTTTTACCCTTGCAAGGTTCATTGTTTGGTGGGTGGAGAGCCCAAGCGACAGCAGATGCGCAACCTCGATCGTGATCGTGCTGATATTGTCGTCGGTACGCCTGGCAGACTGATCGATATGCTTCGTAGTGTTCGTCATTTCAAGCGATCCTGCGAATCCATCCAAACTTTGATTCTTGATGAAGCTGATCAGCTTTTGGATATGGGTTTCAAGGACGAAATTCAAGATATCTTGCGCGAAATCCCTGAAAAGCGTCAAACTCTCTTGTTTTCAGCTACTTTGACTCCTCAAATTCGCCAAAACATTGTCCAATTTGCTCTCTCCGAGGATCACGAAGTATTGGATACCGTCGACCCCAACGAAATCAACACCAACTTGCAAGTCAGACAAGATTATTATGTTGCTCCCTTTGCTGATCAAGCCGCCGTCATTAGCAATATCATCGCCAACCGTGACGCTGCTTTGGAAGGCAAGACCATGATCTTTTTACCCACCACCAGGATGACAGAAATGTATGCTGAAGTGTTCCGTGAGCTGTTGGGTCCCAAGCGTGCTAAGGATATCTATGAACTCCACTCCAAGAAGACTCAATCCAAGCGCAACCGCATTTCTGAACTTTTCAGAAGTGCACGTCCCGGCTCTGTCTTGTTCACATCAGATGTCTCAGCTCGTGGTGTCGATTACCCTGGTGTCAAGCTTGTCATCCAAGTGGGTGTCCCTTCGTCTAGAGAACAATACATTCATCGTCTTGGACGAACTGGACGTGCTGGCAAGGAAGGTGAAGGCATTATCGTCCTTGCTCCATTTGAAGAAGCTTTTGTTCGCAACGAGGTTGCTGACCTGCCCCTTGTAAAGCAAGACACCAAGTCGATGCTTGCTGATGTCGATGATGCAAGAGAAATCATTCATGAAGCGGCTGCCAAACTTCCTGAGAGTTTTATCAATGATGCCTACATGTCATTCTTGGGATACTGTAAGTTTTTAGAAAATAACATGGTGGTGATTGTAAATCAATTTGGCTGGACACGGTACTCATGACGCTCCTCTTTTTTTCTCAATTTTAGATTCATCCCGTATGCCTCTCCTTAACCAACCTAGATCAGAAACCTTGGTCCACGGTGACCACTTCATCCGTGGGTTTGGTGTGACTGAAGTACCTTCATTAAGTCCAAACTTGTTGGCCAAGATGGGACTTTCTTCCAAGAGCCGCGATAGCGACCGAAACCGGGGAAGCCGAAGCAGATCACGTACTGACTCATACGATAGACCCCGCCGTTCATTTTCTGACAGAGATGACGACCGCCCTAGACGCCCACGCTTTGATAGAGATGAGGACCGTCCCAGACGTCCACGCAGTGATAGAGACGACGATCGTCCCAGACGACCGCGCTTCGATGGAGACAACGATCGCTCCAGTTTCTCACGACGTCCCAAACGCGATGACGATCAAGGCGGTTTCCGAAGAAGCTCCAGCAGAACCGGTGACGACTTTCCCCGAAGACGTCCTAGATCGGACGACTCACCCGATGACGACTTCTTCCGCAAAAACAAGGCTCCCGGCCGCTCCACCGCTGACCGTCGCCCTCGCAGCAAAGAATTCTCTCGCGAATAAACAGGATATCCTGGATGGCTAGTCCCCAAGTTATATCTCATTTTTGTAGATTCATAATCACATAATGTCTCATATTTCACGCCTTAAACCTAACAACCCCCCCCCCCTACATCTTTGATCCACACCAATTCATGCTTTTTCATTCATTTTTTTTCTTCATAATAAATTGTGTATTAGACCTTGGTATGCATTGGTAGTGTGTTTTCTTTTTCTGGGAGCGATTAGTGAAAAAAAAAAAAATTACAACGTGAAAAGGATGGATTTTGGCAAACGGGAATGATGAGATTAATGAGGGGTAATCGATGCTGTCTTGTCTTCCTTCTTCTGTTGCCGAACCTTGTACTGACTGTACTGCCGGCTCATATCATAAGTGGTCATCCAGCCGTCCGGGAAGCATTGCATCAGCTGTAGGAAGAGCGATGAGTCAAAGTTGTCACGAAATTCGATACCCGAACCTCTACCTTACCCTTTGATACATTTGTTTCCGTGCAGTCGTTTCTGATATGGGCTGTTCATTTGTTTTGAGTAATTGGCTGCAAGTAGAGCAGAGTGAGTGGGTGATGACTTCACAACAAAGCATGGAGCAATTTCTTACTTTAATTCATTCTTGAGACTCGTCCTTGCTACTTCAGCTTTCATGATATTGTACAGTGTTTTCCTCGTCTCTTCGTTGAATCTAAACCGAGTAGCTGACCCTGCCTGTTCACCGTCTTCCTTGGCATTATCCTAGCAGCGTGGATGAACGTTAGAATCGAAATAGGACGAAGGATGTACGGAAAATATTAGAAAGGCTTCACTTACATCAGTCGTTGCATCTGAACCTTCACTGGGCTTTGGGCCATCTTCTTCTTTGGTTTCTTTCATTCGTCGATGAGTCAAGCAATCCGACACTACGTATAAACCTTGACCATATAACTTACTGGCTACTATTTCAGCGTGCTGCTTAATTTGAGCGGGCATAGCCTCGTCTACCTGTTGCTTTAATACTGTGATCATGCCGTCTATCTCTGTCTGCAGTTCATCAATGCGCAAAGGTCCGACTTGCTTGTATAAAAATTTCTGTTGGATGGACAAAGTACAATATTAGCTTCACATTAATTTCGTGCATTCGAAAACGAGTAAAATAGACACGCTACACGTAAGGTAAACTTGTTGTACGGTAAGATAGCCATCAAATGGTTCACGAAATTATCATCAGGGCCATTCGCCTGGCGGAAAACAAGCGTTCCTGCAGCCAACACGGTAGGTCGCAAAGTAGGTGGAAACTTTGATTTCACCGCAAAGTCCTCTGCATGTCAGATCGATGGTGAGTGTTCATTCGGTTGGCTAATACTTTGTGCTCGCCGTTAAAACCTACCTTTGGCCACATCTTCTCGTAGTCGGTCCATAATCTTTTCTACAGCTGGATCCAGTGGCGTTAGCTTTACCGGTTTATTGGCACCCTTCTTTGGTTTTTCGTCCACGGTCGCTGAGCTTTGCTGAGAGCTAGTTGTAGCAGTGTCGGTACTTGCCATGTGAGAGGTCGGCCTGCCGTCCTTTTCACCATTTTGAGCGCTCCCTGGTTTGTCCGAGACGTCTCCATTAGATGTCGATGTAACACCTTCGATCTTCTGCTCTTCCTTGGCTGCTTCACTCGTCGCCTTCTTTTTAACTGATTCTGATTTTTTGCTCGGAGACGCGGTTGGATCATCCAGTTTGGGTTTCTTTTTCTTTTGACTATCGTCTTTCGATGCAACATCGGTTGTTGATTCAGGCTTTCGCTTCTTAGCTTGTAACGTAGTCAATGACCCCTTTGTCGCAGGTTTTTTAGCAGCTGATTTCTTAACACCTTTGGTCGATTTGCCATCCCCTTCAGTTTCAGAATGCGACTGATCGGACGGATCCGTCACAGCTTTTCGTTTGACTGACGATTTCTTCGATGAAGAATTGGCCGAAGACGATGTTGGCTTTTTGGATGTAGCCTTCTTCTTACTGTGAAAAAAAAAAGGGAAATAAAGCAACGCATTGTTTAGCAAAGTATATATCAGAACATTGCAAGATGTACTTGCACTTACTCTTCCTCGTCATCGAGCGGACCCTGGTAAACAAAGAAGCCATCATGTCTCCGTTCGCTGTAAGCGTAAGAATCATCCAACAACATGTCACTATCATCAATGAAAGGATCTTCGACATCGTATTCGTTTTCTGGTAGCTTTTTCCTATTTGAATTCTGTATCGAGGCAAGTTAAAATCCATTCATATTTTTCAAGCTATTAAAAAATTCCCTCAAGTGGTACGACACTTACGCCGACCGAGTCCTCATCGTCTTGGTCGTCATGAAGAGTGTAATTTGCGCTTCTTGCCAGCAGTCCCTGAAAAAAGTTGTCTTCTGATTGCTGTTCAGGGTGTTTTGCTTCCTGATTGGGAGGCGGTTCGTCATGAGTAGTGGTATTATTTTCCTTCGCTTTGAGAGCTTGCCTTAGCAGGTCAGCGTAACAGACAATGGTGCCTGGAGCCTTTTCTTTCAGATCGACGTGAATTCGAACAGTACGCGATTTTGTTTTTTTAGGCGGGTCAGCCTGCGGCTCAGGCGATGCCATTTTGCTGTATAAGGTTGCAGTTTGGAAAGCGGGCCCAGTTATTTTATTTTGGCAGCGTGTGCTATTTATTTTTTACAGCTGAAAAGCTGCGTTGAGCGGCAAGCGGTCACTAGCAGTAGCTTCAGGTCAAGGTGGATTCCCCTGTCGGACCGATCAAAGAAACGTATAGAACAAGAGAAAAACAAGCCAATTTCACTGGAATCAATAACACTATGGTAGCTTATTCTAAGTGTCTTTCATTCAGTTTGATTCAAAGTTATCTGGGCATGTTGGCCATCACGATTAATAAAAGATTGTCCGCCAGCCAGCTTCTTTGCGCTGGAAAGTTTCACTGTCCCAAAGCGCGGGGGTTTACGAATTGAAGCAATGATTGGCTGTCAGCATCGGAAGCCAAGTATTTTCGTGAAGTCATCGGTATTTTATAATACTATTTGTACAACACAACCCTACAATTTTTTCGCTTGATTTTATCAACACCTTTCGTCCATTTCCTTTACATTCGGTGCCTACTTCCCCCCTTTCGTTAGCACCTGATATCTTCCTTCGCCTCGCATCATGGCTGCTCAATATCTTGGAGCAAAGGGAACTTCAACTTCCTCATTCACCAACCAGAAAATCCGTCTGCCCGAAGACCAATTGTCCTCCCCCGACTACTTTGGTGTTGGCAAGCGTTCGGAAGTCTGGAACCGTCACTCTGAACAACCTTCGAAAACGACACCCTCCAGTGTTCAGCAGCATAGATTAAACGCTCAACAAGAGCAGCAAATTTTTGCTGACAAGAGTACTCGTCTATTGGACTTGCTTACCAAGACCTCTTCTGCCATTAAGGATTTGCGTGAATTCAATGGTCACCATATGGTCTACTACCCAAAGGTGAAAGACTCACCTTCTGGAAACGAGCATGCTACCATCCAACGCCAAGCTCTCGAACGCTCACAGACATTAATTAATATGCCTATTGAGTCCGAATTACAACGTCATATGCCAAAGCGGTCTAACTCTCTCAGTGGTCTTCAAGAAGACCAAGAAGAAGTGAAAGCTGCCACAGAGGCTCACCGTATCTTGACTTCGGAAGTTGCTAATGCTTTCCGCTCTAAATTGAATGTTCTCAACTTGGACGTTAAGGTTGGCCATCATATCGCAGATGTCAACAACCTAGCCCAAGAATCTATTACAGCTTTGTTGGATGACCGTCTTGCCCAAAGCATTGCCCACATTGAAAAAATCCATAAGCGAGTCGCCGATACCTCGTCCAAGGTTTTGGTTACCGGTGATTTGAACGCTGGTAAATCTACTTTTGTGAATGCTTTGCTCAAGCGTGAAATTCTGCCGAGCGACCAACAGCCATGCACAAGCACGTTCTGTGAAGTCTTGGATGCTACGCTCAATGATGGTGTCGAACAAGCTCACGCTGTTAAGGATGTTGCTGCTTATAATCGCGCCGATGCATCCACCTACGAAGTCATTGAACTTCGTCATCTCTACAAGACTGTCATCGATGAGACTTCACCTTACAAGATGCTCAAGATTTATACAACTGACCGTCGTCAAACTGAAGAGAGTCTTTTGCATAACGGTGTTGTGGATATTGCCCTTATCGACTCCCCAGGCTTGAACACCGACTCTTTGAAGACCACCGCCGTTTTTGCTCGTCAAGAGGAGATTGATGTTGTTGTTTTCGTTGTTAGTGCCGAGAATCACTTTACTCTTTCGGTAAGTTAGCCGCCTACTGGATTGTTTGCATTATGATTTGATTTTTAACCAAATTATAACGTTTGCGCCTTAGGGCAAGGAATTCCTTTGGAATGCTGCTAACGAAAAAGCTCACATTTTCATTGTCGTCAACCGCTTTGATAGCATTCGAGATAAGGATCGCTGCAAGCGTCTCATTCTGGAACAGATTCGTCAACTCTCTCCCGCCACCTATGCGGATGCTGATGACCTCGTCCATTTCGTCAGCGCTGGTAGCGTCGATCTTGAGGAAGGTTCTCACAAACTCGACCCCGAAGAATTTGCTCGCTTGGAAGAACGCCTTCGTGCCTTTGTACTGGAAAATCGTGTCAAGTCCAAGTTGTCCCCAGCTAAGAACTACTTGTTGAACATTCTTTCCGACCTTCACGTCATTTCCGAATCCAACCACGACGAAGCCAGCAAGGACCTCAAGCGCGTTGAATCCCAACTCCAAGCCGACCAACCTGCTTATGAACGACTCATGTCTGCTCGTGATCGTATTTTCGATCAAATTGAGAAACTCGCCGAGGACTCCGTCCGTAGCCTACAAACGTTTGCTCACACTCGTTTGGATGCCACCGTCGATCAAATCGAAGGTGCCATTTCCAACTTGGAATATCCCGGCCTGTTCTTAATCTGGCAATACGCTCAGGATGTTGTAGATTCCATGGCCCATACTCTCCAGAAGGAAGTCAAGGCTCTTGAATCTCACGCCAAAGAAACCACCAGCACCACTGTGGATGAAATTCACCAACTTGGCACCAGCGAGATCGGTGAATATCCCCGCACCGTCGATGTCGATAGCATGTTCTTGAAGAGCCGTGATAGACGCATCTTTGTTGAAATCGAAGCCACTGATTTCTTCGACATTGATTTCAACGACAAGTTCTCCATTCTGTCCATGTCCCTTGGTGCTGTCACCATGGTGGGTGGTCGTGTCATGGGGGTTCAAAATGTTGTGTCCAGCATTTGGAATGTATCCAACGTTGTCGGTGTCAACACTGTTCGTCGCTGGATGGTCCCTGCCATGTCTGTGGCTGGTGTTGGTCTTGTTGTGTATGTCGTCTCTGATATGCGTCATGCTGTTGAGCGCAAGCTTAGCCGCAAGTTCAAGGCGGCTGTCAAGGACTCCAACCATAACGAAGGTCAAAGCTACCGTATTGCTCGGGCATCTCGCAAGACGCTTCGCATCGAAGGTTGGGAACTTCAAAATCAAATCCAAAAGGCCGTGGACAACAAGGAGAAGATGCGCGGTGAAATGGTTCAAAAGGCTCAATTGTCAGAGGAAGCCATGAAGTACTTCTCCGGCGTCCTTAACCAGACCCACGAAATGCGCTCCAAGGTTGAATCCGTCAACACGGAAGAAGTGGCCAAGCTCTAAAAACACCTAGATCATGGACCTTTTTTCCCATCCATCCAAAGAAAACTCCAAATGAAAAAGAAACTATCCATCTCCCCTCATCCATCAGCTATTGTATTTTTTTTCCCTCTCTTTCATTTTATCCATTACTTATCCATTTATCTTTTCCTTATATTCCCCTCTGTTTCTAAAATTCAGATGAAAATTCAATGTCTCTTCACTTCCCCCCAATATTTTTTGCACGTTTGCGCAAAATAGATAACATGTTTTATTATATGAAAAAGCAGAGCGGTTTTTCTTTTGTGTTTGGGGTGGTGGGTATTATTTATGTACAACTTCTTTTCCGATTGTATGAGGGTTGGCAATGTCGTAGGATCGACGAAGAACAGCGTACACGAGATCAATCAACAGCAAGACCTGGCCGAGGTTATAGACCAAAGTGATGGCATAGAAGAAGTTGGCGTTGCCACTGCCGGCGTAGATCCACAGATGCCAAAAGATGGGTGCCAGGGCCGCTGAATAGAGATAGAGGTTGGTGACCAAGAACCCGTAGCGAGCATCTAGGAGAGAGTGGAGGAATGTTAGCTGTCGGCATAACTAAACTATATACATGGAAAGTAGGATGAAGAAAATCCCGGACTCACATTTAAACAGCTCGTCATGGACTGGAAGGAGGCCAAGGAAGAGGGCAGCATCACCCACCGAGGGATAGCTTTTTAGAATGGACATCATGCCACTGAGGACAATGATGACAAAGACAGGATGTTCCCTAGTTTTACAAGATGAATCAATACATGCACAAGGATGAGACTTCTTTTGTGGTCCCTTATACGCACCTTATTTTAATACAGAGAGGCGCAACAAAGATAAAAGCGTGGAGTTGGAACACGACCAAAAAGAAGTTGCGGAATTGGTCGAACATTTCTATGAAGAAATACCAAAACATGCCGACATTGGGAGTCAGATCAGTCAGACAAAGACTGTCGTGAGGAAACGCATGAGTACACTACATTTGACGTCCTGCCCTGTCTCACATCCAACTTACATGGTACCGTATGTCGAATACAAATAATCCCATGATCCAACCAGTATGCGTGAAGATATCAAGAACAGGGCTAGCCAAGCTACAAAATAGAAAGTCGAAGCTCTTGCCTGCTTCACCTGGATGAATGTGTGAGCATTGATCATGAATGCAAACATGGCATATCCCATACCGATATTTCCAATCAACCTATTCATCCTCACCAATGTGCTGTTGTTGCTCGGCGTCCATTTGGAGATGATAAGAACCAACGCTGGCATAAGCATAGCGGGGTAAAAACTGAGGTATGAAGCGATGGCCACCCAGAACATGCTGTAGATCGCATCTCCTATATACACAAAGGTCAACACCCGTTTTCCAAACCAAGCCATGCCAAATGTTCAGGAAACTGGTCTCGTACCTTTCAATGCCAATGCGACGGAAAGAACGACGGAAAGATTCGTAAAGATGAGAGTGGATTTAGACACGCACGATAAGATGGTAAGCGGATTGAATAAATACAAGGCTGCCACCGTCCATGGGTCGATGGGAGCCATTTCCTTCTCGACCTCCAGCTTGGGTGCGTTTGCATAGTTTTTCTGTTTCATCTGAGTGATGACGACCAAGGCATAGCCAATGAACGTATCCACGCCTGCATACACGATTGGTATAGCCAAGGGTGAGAGCGATGTGAGGGCTGAGAACAAGACAAGAAGAAAGGGTGCCTGTTGAAATACGGTTTAACCACATTGAAACGACCGAGGTTGTAATGCTCTGCAATCGCTTACTTGGTGAAATATGCCATTGTCATAGGGGGGCACACTGTTTTCATACAGATACAAGCCTTCCGTCACTATAGATTGTATTAATCATCAACTCCTAAAGAGGAACTTGTATGCCTGACATTTCCAAACCAGGCGGGGATTGGTACAAAGCACTTACATCGCTTAAAGCTTGTTATCGGTGTGACGACTTCAACGCGTGTGGCAAGGGTATCGGCGATAGTTGGGATATTGAAAAGGACGATGCGTAAAATGAATGCGAGTGGTGGAATGAGAATGGCTTTTCTGGTCATCATAGCTATTATGAATGGGTGATTCACCGTGCCTGGTTGACAGTGGTGCGATGAAAGGGCAAGGATGTTCAATGCCAGTCACGGTCCGCCTGTAGGTCGACACCGGTTGAACCCTAACCCTGTTAGACCGCACACACTTCTGGCAGGGAGCCAACATGAGAGCGAGCACTCGTTGGATTTCTTAACCAACACACTCATCAATGTACGTATCTTCCATGAATACCACAAAAAGACAGACCGGTCAACATGGATGGAGCGCAAACGTTTAACTGACCGGGTGAGAATGGATTGCTAAATATGCAAATGCTAAGCTGTACTCAACCGGCAATGACGAGGTAACCGCTTTTTCTAGCTAAATCCGCGGGGTGACGGCAAACAAGTTCGGTAATGGTTAGCATCAAAGTGGCTGGATTAAACATTCACAAAAGCAGCAGCAATCATACAAAAATAGTAATAAGACATCCCCGAAGCCGCCGGTTGAGCCAAAACAGACTTCGGGTTTTGCAAAATGACTATCGGCGTACCAAAATGTCTGCGTCCTTTTCTCGTAGCTGAGTTTTGTGTGAACCACCTTTATAAACGAAGGCTTCAGGCTTTCTGTCCAGGGCCTTCTTCTAACACGTGCAGCGCAGGGGAATATTCCAGCATGCGTAGGAGATAGAAAAAATAAATAAATGACGACAGCCCCCGATAGAACATGGACAAGACCGTTGTACAATCCCGTCGGCCGCTAATAGAACCAGTGAGATTTTTTTCGTCAAGTGACGAACCATGACTTGAAAGTTTCTTCACGCTAACCAGCCGATCTAGGAACTAAGTGGGTTGACCTTGGGCCGAGCGTGAAAGGACATGGCTTTGTCCTTCGTCTATGAACTGGACCTGGTGTGTTTCAGCCATGAGTGAGCCTCCTTCACTCTGTCCAGCTGATGATGCTATCCTCACCAGTGGGTTGATGGCAGTGATGCTATCCTCCAGCCTCACCACATGCCACTCTCCCCAGCCCGAGGTCACACCAAAGAATGAGGCTTGACCATGAAGCATTCACAACATAAAAATAACTTTTTTATTTTTTTCTTACGCGTTATGAGGGGAAGGTTAGCTACTTTCTGGTACGACAAATAGTAATTATACCAGGTTGAAATCTTTTTTTAAACCTCTACAGCGCCGTTACCAAAATATTTAGTCAGCCCCCCTTTCGATGGTGTCAATGCAAGATGGGGCAAAATGATGTATGGATGGGACGTGGCTCAAGGAGGCTCGTATAAGGTTCCATTGGCTAGCCTGACATGGTAGACTTCGGCGGTGGGTTAGGTTAGGGTCATGCATGGACTATGCGGGTATTGAAATGAAAGGCGGTCCGGAGATTTCCCTATTACAGACTTCCTTGACGAGAAGCAACAGAAGGGGATGGCTGCCAGTCGCTGGAACAAGCAACAGCGTTAAAGAAAAGGTAAGTAAGAGACCTTCCAATGTATGCCCGATTGGGATGTTACACACCCGGGTGGCCAAAATGGAAGGTGGAGCGAGAAGGCCGAAATCAATGCTACTTCTAGCGCAAGTTGCTGTTGGGAGGACAAACTTTCTTTTATACTACACAACTTCCAAATAGGCTAAGAACATTCTGTGGTGGATATCTCAGCTACGTACCCAGTTAATTCCAATGTTAAAGTCACGAAAAGCGACTGGGAGAACAAATGCCATTAACAGACATTGTGAGCAGATCCTTTCAATCTCCTGCAGTGTAACGACTGTCTGATATATTTGACTAGAACTCGGGGTCAGTCTACCACCCTGCTTCCATGGAAACCCATCCACCTCTACGCCGATGCTCTTCCAGGGTGTAAGACCGATAGCGCAATATTCAAAGAGAAGGTTGGGCGTATGATTTTTTTTTTTAAAAAAAAAAAAAAGAAATGGGAAAAAAATAATAATAATGGCAGAGTACACAAAAGCTCGCAATGTACCACCCCCAACGGACAAAATGGCCATTGTACCATCTCATTGGTGGAAAAAAATACCACCATGGTTGGGCTGTCGACACTACATAAATACCTGCCATTTGCTTGGTTATTTTCCATTCTCTCGTCCCTTTTCTCTACTACTTTGACAACCCTTCTACTTTGACCATGCTTGACCCGTATCTCGCTGTTGACAACAGTCATTTGTATGGATACCCAATGCACCCGTGGCAGTTCGTGGTGACGGCTGATCCTCACACCGCCCAACATGAATCATTTCCGGTGTTCTACAATGAAGACCTTGCTAAACCCATCTTTGATACATACCAAGAAACGAAACCCCCTCAGATGCTCGATGCTGGTGCCTTGGAATACCCTAGTCCGTCTCCCTCTTTAGCCGGCAGTCCAATGATGCCCATTTGCTCAGTCGACCCAGCGTATGCTACGTCCATCGCCCCTTCGGTGTTGATATGGAGCCCGGCTCCGACTGTCCCTTACAATGACGTGAGTCCGATGCTGGCATCCACCCACTCCCCACAACCTGAGCTACAACACCAATCACCATCTGTTCACCGCTGCACTACCAGCAACGCTTTATTTTCTACCTTCTCTGTGGCGGCACCGCTCACCAACTCGTCTACCACTGCAATGTCACAGCCAAAGACTGTGAAGAAACAACCAAGCAAACCAAGAAAGACCCTCAACACCACGGCGATGAAGAAGATAGCTAAGCAGTCATCAAAACCTGAACAGTGCTATCGATGCGATTATCCAGAGTGCAACAAGAAGTTTACTCGTCCTTACAACTTAAAGTCGCATAAACGAACTCACACTGCCGAAAAGCCTTTTCCTTGCCAGTTTCCTGGATGCAACCGTCGCTTTGCTCGCCAGCATGATCGAAATCGCCATAATAAGCTTCACTCCAACGTTAAACCCTTCAGTTGTGAATACTGCCATAAGGCCTTTGCAAGACAAGATGCTCTTAGCCGACATCAGAGAGTGGTAGGAGCTCCATGCTCCGTGGTTGCTTTGGAAAACCGTAAAGTCAACCGTCTTCGCAAGTGAAAAAAAACCAAAAAAAAAAAAAAAAAAAGAAATTAACCTGTCACCCTCATACCCTCAAGCATTCTGTACACAACGAACCTCCCCCGCATATCATACCCTGAACTGTTTCAAAGCTGTCAATTTTTTTTTCTCTGGTTCCATTTGTATCATAAATCTAGCATCATATAGAAAAAAATTGATAATTGTACTCCCTTTTCTAGCCCTTTCGTTTACTTATGATTGTACGCAAACAGACATGTATAAAGTTTTCCTATCATGCCAGAGCGCCAATGGCTTTATTATCATCGATGTTGGGCTGATGAACCCACCTTTTTTTATTATTGGTCACGTTCCCCGTTGGACAATGTGGGTGTGTTCCAGCTTTGGAAAACTGCATTGCCGGTATTCAGTAACTCTACGATAACTGGTTTATGACTTCGTTAGTGTGACGCTTATGTTGCCTGATGAGCCTTTCCAAATGGGTCCAGCTCTCAATACCACGCGTGTCATTGGGAGGTGGAGTTCCCATGCACTATGGTCAGGGTATGTGTGAGCACTCGTGGCCAACTTCATCAGAAACGTGGAGCTTAGTCCTTTTTTGATGAAGAGGACCACCCGCGCATTTTGCTTTGTATATCCACCCCTGTCTTCAACCACACCACTTGCTGAACCCAGGAAGATCACTGCCTGGAAATGGTACCTGGGCGCGAAGCAAACAGGATGAGGATAATTCAGTAGGGCGAAGATGTCGGCTGACTTGTGCTTAGCTTGGTCTTTTTTTAAATTACTGTTTTTTCCCTGGGCCTTTTTTTATCATTCTTGTCTGCTTGAGAGCAGACACCTCTTTAAGAGCAGGAAATCATTAGTATCACAGAAAGAAAAATAAAATCACGGACAATTTGCTCTGAATATGGTAATTAGTATTTTCCATTTTGAGATGGAGGAATCAGCGTTGTTCAGCAAGGCAGCAAATACCAAAGGACTGCGCGGACAACGAGGTCGAGAGAGATATTAAGCCGGCGTAATGTTTTACAACGTAGAGCATACCCACAACGGAAGTTTTAGTTATTCCGGCTTCTGCTTGACTCGGGATTTGAGCTAATTTCCCCGGTGGAAGAGCAGAAGTAAAGTGGGAGTTTTTATGGGGAAAATAATCCCGGCCGGAGACTCGCGTTTCCCTGTCGTCAACTTTTGGCCATTCAAGAAACGCGTTTCACTTTGTACAATCATGCTCACGCAAGCAGCTACTAATGATCGCTCCCATGATCTGTCAAAGAAGCAAAGCTCATGGGCAAAACCACATAGTGTGCTTGAAAATTTACAGGGCTCGGTCGAGAAATTGTCACTTACTCTCAGTGCTGTAAGATTCGTCTGTCTGCTTTTCCTGCATGTCAGCGCGCTCATCTCACCTCTCGTTACATTCAGCTTCAAGGATCCGTCGAGTTGCTACAGCCTACCACCAAAGATTTCACGCGTCTCAAACATGTCATGTCCTTTCAGCGAGTAAGTCGCATTCCACCATCCGCATCAGCTACGGTGCTTGCCCTGAACTCACTCTCTACTTACAGCAATATGACCTGGTCTCGGAAAAGGATATCAAATCAGCTCAGTCTCAGATAGCGCAAGATATCCGTCCACAAATAGATACCCTTCTCTCGGAAGCAGAGTCAGTCATGGCCAAACTTCTCAGTGAAGAACAGACACTGGAAGCCACCGTGGAGAAACAGGAAGAGGAAATGAAACATCAGCAATTGAAAGTAAACGAAAAACAGCGTCTTGAGAATTTACACCATCGTGCAGGGGATGAGGATAGATCTAAAATCGATCAAGCGTCGGCTGAAGCTATGCGACGGCTTAAGAGTTTAAAACTGAAGAAAGATGGTTTGATTCGCACAATTGAGGACCGTGCTGAAGAGATTGAGAAAAAGGCAAGTTTTATGAAATGGAACAAGGTTGGGAGCTTCGCTTACACAGTCGTGATCCCTTTCAACGTACTTAGGAGCATCAACTGTACAAATTGAAGCAAGACACAAAGCGAATGCAGCAAAGAAAGCAAAACGCCGCCTCTGTAAGTAGCAATTTTATATTTTTAATTTGGCGTTTACTGTGGGTGTGAAGTAACGCACGTCTGGGAGATGGATGATTTTTTTTATTTTTTTTTTTGATACAATACTAACGCTTCCCCAACCAGGATGGTACCGCACAAGAGTCCCAGTACGAAATACGCAAGCGTCAACTTACAGCTGAGCTTGCTTCCGTTGAACTCAAATTGGATCAAAAGAAAAAAATGATCCAGTCAAAGAGAAGGTCCACGATTGGATCCATTGGCGACGGGATCATGTCAGAGTCAAAGAAGTCACGGCGGCGGAAACTTGTGGAAGCAGATCTTGACAATACCCTCGGCAACGATGGTATGTAGGCGATGCCTTCTCCCTGATCCGCAATTGGGCTTTCTCGTACTAATACATGCTTTCTCTTATTTTCACTTCAGAGCCCCACTGGAAGTTTTACCCACAACATTTACGGTACATACAAGATGTGTTGGAGCGAATATGCAATTCTCCCTATCAAGGTACGACATGCATCTTGTCCACTGACATTTGTTTTGATACCAATCCCTTTTGTCTCCCCATATAGGAGATCCACAGCTGTTGGAAGAGTACGAGAGGCAAGCCCGAAGTTATTTGCAGCAAATCCAAAAAGATAGAACCACGGTAAATACACGAATTCCACTCATGAAGTTGGCCTTCCCGCCTTCCTTATCCTCTTGTATCCCTCTCGCAGATATCTACAGTGACACAGACGGATCGCAAACAGTGGAAGCGGCACTCGATCAAACAGATGAAGACCATGTGCAAGATCCTGTTCCCTGAAGGCACGGTTGGAGCTACTATGGGACGAATCATAGAAATGCTCTTTAGTGATGAACCAACCCTGAAGAAGGACGGTCAGAGATCAGAAGAAGACGATTCCATGATTGACATTCTTGAACGAGGGGTTCCCGTCAAGGTCCTGGCTAGGGTAAGCGATAGTTGCTATGGATCAGGCTTCCATCCAATGTTATATACTTACATTAGGGTTGATTTGGTTTAGGAATTTCCACCAGCGCAAGAACGACGACACAACCTCCAAAAGGCTATCCATATTCTATCCGATGTTGGTGTGATTGAGACACTCCAGGAAGTAGATGAGAGCAATGACGCATCTCCGGGTGAGATGATTATCCGTGTCAAAGGCGTTGAGAGCATTTACGAGGAATAGCGCAGTCGACCATAACGATAAATTATGTATACATCTTTTAAGAAGCCAATAATAATTCAAATGCTACCAGTTACCATTAAGATCGCAGTGTGGATCAATGTCTGTCACAGTGAAATCAGCCAATCAGAGCCGAGGTGTCGGAATGCACGGCAAAAACAATATGCGCTCTGAGTGTAATATAAGCCTTCTAGTCTGAAACCAATTTCACTTAACCTTGTGACATTAAAATTACCATGGCTTCTAACGCAAAGGACAACTGGTCAGCTACCAAGTACGATACGAATGCAAACTTCGTGCCTGTGCTCGGAGCCACTATTCTAGGCATGCTGGACCCTAAGGCCAACGAGACTATTCTGGATCTAGGATGCGGTGATGGCGTTTTGACCAAGGATCTCGAGAAAATGTGCGAACGCGTGGTTGGCGTGGATGCCAGTGCCAACATGATTGAAAAAGCAAAGGATCTGGGGTGCAAGGATGCGCGTGTCGTGGACGGCCACGACCTCGCTGCATGGTTTGACAATGAAAACATCGAACAGCAGATCGATGGCAAGTTTGATGCAGTATTCTCCAATGCCGGTACGTAACTCAATGCTTAACCTAGGTCGCGCGCATGGGTGTGCTCATATCGAGACTTTTTTCAGCTTTGCATTGGATGAAGAAGAATCCCAAAGACGTGATTGCTGGCGTCAAGCACGTTTTGAAGCCCGGCGGTCGCTTTGTCGCGGAATTTGGCGGCTACCTGAACTGTGCTGGTAAGAATTTGGACATGGCGAAGGGGAATGCTAGTCAGTCAAAGACGAACCATTATGTTGGCTGCAGATCCCCGCAGTGGGGCGTTTGTTATGTGGCTGTTTGAATAGTGACGTTCATTTCTTCCGTTTTCTAGATATCCATGGTGCTCTTATAGCAGCTCTTAACCGCCGAGGCAAGGACGGCAAATCTTACTCTCCTTGGTTCTTTCCATCGGATGTACATTACAAAGCTTTGCTAGAAGAACAAGGCTTTGAGGTCCAGACGATCTCCCTTAATCCTCGCCCAACCGAACTGCCCACTAATGTTGCGGGGTGGATCGAAACTTTTGGCTTCACTTTCCTCGCTGCTCTCGATACCGATGAAGAAAGACGTGCTATGGTGAAGGAAATCGCAGAAGAGATGAAGGTGACTCATCAGCGCGAGGACGGCAAATGGTTCATCATGTACAACCGATGCCGGTTCATTGCTTATAAACCCAAGGTTTAGTAATTGAATTAAAAAATAATAAATCAAATTGGCAAGCTAAATGGGGGGTGGCTCCACCGCGGCGAATTGACAGTTTTCAAGAAAAAAAAATAATTTCGTCATAAGTGGTCTTTATAAGAGCCAGTCATTTTGAAATTCATGGGTTTGTCAGCATCTACCCCTCTTACTCCAGAACAAATGTCTGCCGTCAAATCCAAAGTCGAAGAAATCATTGCCAATAACAAGGTCGCTGTTTTCAGCAAATCCTACTGCCGTAAGTACTGCATCTCCATGTATGCTGAGCAAGCACGTCCTATCTAACCCGTTGCACCTATGCAGCTTACTGCCGCCGCGCAAAGGAAGCCCTCAAGTCCATCACCTCTGAGTTCTTCGTCATTGAGCTCGATGAAGCCGATGATGGCGCCGCTATCCAAGATTATCTCCAGCAAAAGACCGGTCAAAGAACCGTTCCCAATATCTTTATTAACCAGAAGCACGTTGGTGGTTGCGACGACTTGCTTTCCCTCAAGTCCAGCGGTGAACTCCAGAAGCTCCTTGCCTAACTAGATCACCTCCTCCATAAGCGGTCCACTAATAAATAAACCCCTCAGTTTTTTGTCTGTAACATGGAACGAAAGTGCATACAGTGTTGCCAGCAAAACTTGTCTTCTTGCAAGAATAGCCAGCCCGTCCCTCGACGGTTGTCTTTATAAATATTCCAAATGTGTGTACAAAATGTAGATCGTGAGAGGGTTGTAAATGACGAAGTAGGAATTTATAGTACATGCGCTCTTCTTTTTTTTTTTAAGAAAAAAAAATATAGGTTTCTTTGTTATGACAGTCTACCAACGGCGTCTGCTGCGCCGTCCCCCGCCGCAAAGGACTCGTTCGCACCACCCACCTGGAACGCAGAGTGGACACCAAGTCCACCAGAACCCATAACCCCAATAACACCGACAGCATCCGGGATTCAACTCTATGCTTTTGACGGAGTACCTGGAATTGGAACGGTAGCCGCTCTCGTCTGGCCCGTCGGTGTATGCAATACTTGAAGCGTCATCAAGGTGTTGGCGAATGTTGGGATGGTGACGACCCCGAGAAATATACGGATCAGAAATCGACTCCATAGGCCGAGTGATGGACGATTCGTTCATGGCACCTCTAGAGAACTCGGGATCCATGATCAGTCGTAAAGCATCGCTGCCACCCCCCAGTGATTGCAATAGAGACGAAACGTGATCGTTGATCAAAAGTCCGCTAAGAATCAAAAGGGAGGTGAAGGGGTGGGTAGCGAAGTGAGACACGGTGGTGTCGTTGGGGGGGTTAGACGGCTTGAAAGGGTTGTGGGTATTGGGAATGGATTCCGTCGAGATTCTGGGTTTATCATGGAGAGCAGAGATGGGTGGATCTGGGAACATAGCACGCATTTTGAGTGTATCCTGAGTGTTGGTGGTAGGTGAGGTAGGCGGCAAACTCCATAATACAAATGAACGCATGCCTCCTGTGAACTCAGCTACCAGTGCTTGAGTGGACGTATTAAAGCATTGTAAGTCATATGAACGGTGACTAGAAGTTCGAGCCGCCGATTGCAACACAGGTGATAGCTGCGATTCGCCTTGTCTTGCGTCGGCCGATTTCAGCTCCCACTGGAATGTATGATCGCCCCATTGAAATTTGAACAAGGTAGCCGACGTCGAAAGAGATACAATACGATGATTCGTATTTTCGCTCAAAGACTCTTGTGATACAATCACCATGTCGTGCCAACTTTTATCGGTCAGTGCCCACACCGGTGTGACATGTTCATGGACAGAGTAGAGTGAAACATAGGGCCTGAGTTTCTCCAAAGTCCTAACACTCATTTTGGTGTCCGGTGCGTTCCCATCCATCGACGAGGAGTTCTCGTAATGGGCAGAATGGAAGATGCTGTGTAATAGTTTCGTTGACTGCAATTCCGGTCGAACGAAAACGTGATTGCCGGCCAATGTTGTCACGGTGGTGTGCAAATCAGTGGTATCTTCACTGATGCTGGTCAATTCGGGTATGTTGATGTTGCCCATCTTTTGTCCAGAAAGGATGACCAGTTCCAGCAACTCTGCACCTGCTCTCAAAGCGGGTCTAGCAGTGTTGATGGTCATCGGAGGTTGAGCTGGGTAATGCTTGGAACTAGAAGGTGGAGAGGGTATTGACGAGGCATCCGGTATGGGGCTAACATCTTGTGAAGATCTTGTCGGTAATGGAGTAGAGGAAGCTTCCTCGTCTTCATGTATTGACATTTAGTAAAGTGCAGTGGGGACTTCACAAGAAGAAAGAAAACGCTCTATTTTTAAACCAGCCAGCGGAAACGAAATTTATTGATTATGGCTGTTACTGTCATCAATTCCACTTTAACCACTGCCGACTCCGACAAACAGTCCATCCACTAACCCTCTCCGACGTCGATAGATCATATCTTTTTCGTTAGTAGCAATGTCTGATACATTGCTTAGGCTTCTAGACTTCGACATCTTGGGCCGTGTAGCGTCGCTCCCTAAAATTTGCTGAGCCCATCGTCCAATGGCCTTGGTAGCCTTGTCAGCGTCTGGTAAAAACGGGATCATTTGTAGGAAAGCGTGGCTCATGCCCTCCATGATGCGAACAGTAACACCATGATCTGGATCTTCATCATGGTGAGTTCGCTTATGACCGTTATTTCGTTTGGCTTGCCGGATTCGTCCAGCAAAAATCACTGTGTCATCTACAAATGGGTCTTTTTCTCCACACATCATGTATAATTTTGGAAATTGTGACAACAATGTAGACGGCGCCACGATGGGGGACAACAAATAGTCGGTGTCAAAGTCTGGATACGAGTGAGGACCGAGATACACTGTACCGGGAAGAGTTCCCAAAAACCGAAAAAGTTAGCTGCGAGTACACGTCACGGCCTGTTGGATGTGGAATACTTACGGATAGCCATGGCTCGCATCTAGTTACAATAGCAAACGTTATCAATATACGCTTACATAAACAATCACTCTCTCTTGGCAATAGAATTCTTACCAGATCAGGTGTAATGATGCGGTCGTTGAAGAAACTCATCCGGCTGGTCATTGCCAAACGCGGTACTAACGTGGCAGATGATACATCAACTGAATCCCGGGTAGGCATAAATCTAATCCGCTCTTCTAGACTGGTCCCGCGCTTGGCATGGTTTGCCTCTAGACCCAGTGCACGTCGCCATAGGCTTCTTCTCTCCAAGTCGGGCTCTACACTAAGCGGTGATTGATGGCGCATGTGATCCTTGGATTCTAGAAGATGGCTCATGGTCGTGGCGTTTAAGGACGTGCTAGATTCAGCCCGCATGAGTGAGATCTGAGACGGAGACATCCAGCAGGATAAGTCAAAGTTGAGACATGGGTAGACAGTAATTACACCGGCAGGTAGTGGAATCACTTGATTTTCATGAACAGACGCCGAAGGATCGTCAGATGTCATGACAAAAGAAGAGTTAACGCTGGATGTTTGAAGCTGCTGATTGTGAGCCAGAATTTTCAAGGTGACACCTGCTGCCAAATTTCCTCCACTTTGGACGCCAATTTCATTAGTTAAGAGCAAAACGTTGGCTCCCATCTTTTGGAAAGCACTTACGCAGAGTCACCAATAAAGGCAATCGTCACCTCTTTGTCGCCTCGAAGGCCAAGAACTTTTCCGTTGCTCTCAACGATGCTGATATAGGTATCATAACATTCTTCCATGGCCCAGGGATACGGATATTCTGGAGACTTTCCATAATTGACACTGCATATCAAATATCCGGTTTGTGCAGCCCATTGTGATATGGCATCTTCATGACAGGGAGGCGGCATACTGACAAATCCTCCTCCAGGAAAATGTAAAATCAAGGATGTTTGGTCTTCTAAACTATCTAGACTCCCAGCATAGTACAGATGCAGCTGAACAGGCGGAAGACTGGCTCTTTCTGAAGAGGCTGGGCGGGCCACCTGAATGACCTTTTTCATACTCAGCTTGGGTCGCAATAAAGAAGAAACGAAGCTTAATATTGGGTTACTTGCTCCCTTCTCCCAAGATGTTCTCATATGCTCTACAGTAATGGTAGCTCGAACTTTTCTAGATTTCTCTTCCGCATCATCTGCAAATACCAAGTAGTAGGCGGAAAAGACGATCGATAAGATATGACGCAGCCAAGTCGGTTTGATGCCCATAGCCGTGAAGAATCCCGCATCAAGAGCCGTCAAGATCCAAGTGCCACGGAAATAACTCCGCTTATACAATCTTGCCAATGGTTCAGGAGCTACCGAAAAGCTATCAGGACGGAGTAATACTATGATACATTTGAAAACTATACCTTACCATCGATACCGAGCAGAATATGAACGTTTCGTGTAATGTATAACATTAGCCAAGTGCCCAGCACGATTCTCCATGGCGCATATTGCTCTGATATGAGAAAACAAAGATGAGACATTCAGATACTTGCATTGTGTTCGAATTATTAAGCTGTCATCGCATACTAAGTGTTCTATTTTCTAGCCCCAGGGTCTTTGGCCACCTATATCTTTTTCCGTTCAACAATAAGAATAAGCTGACAAGTTAAGTAAATTTAATATTAGGGTCGTGCGTTATATGGTGCGGTGAATCGTCGAGTTAGCTGACCTTGTACATAATGTAATAATGATTTGTGTCCGCTTCCAGTTTGCTGAAGGCCTTCCTGCAAGGTGGTCTAGCATAGTAACGAGTGGAAAAGGAAAGAGAGAGGTCGTCAGATGGCCCTGGCCCGTCTGCCGACTTGAAGCTCTCCTTTCATGGTTTGCACGTGAAGGTACGTATTGAGGGTCCGACTGATACTGTCATAAACATGAGATGCTTGTCAATCCAGATATGTGTAAGTTGGACGAGCAGATAACCAAAAAGATCTTGTTCTGCTGCATGAAAATATGAGAATGGATAGAAATTAAAGGCGTTGTACACACAAATGGAGGACAAGAAATTGCTGTCAGAAGGGTTTATTTTAACGTTGAAAATTTTTAAAACAAGCTTTTGAGCATTACTGTTGGTTTGGCGACTGTGTTTGAACGACGGCCAATGACAATTCTGGGCAAACGGAAGGCAGACGATGCATCACCATCATGTCTCGCTAGCGACAATCAAAGTGAAGACTTGGAGACAGTAGTCCAGGATTTCACCATTCTCGAATCCAATCCTTTCCTGGTCTCGGATTCGGAATCAGATCGTGCTTCGGACGTTGCTGACCCGCCAGAGAATGGTATATCTACACCTCCACCGGTAACAGAACACGATAGCTCTCTGGCAACATACGTCCAGGAGGCGAAGAATTCTATTCTGGACAGAATTTCCGAGCGTTCCTTGCCAATTGATCTTTCGAATCTGTCAGAACAGTACGACAAGCTGCATCACTTGTTAGAACAAACCGTCAAAGTAGGCGAAAGTAATTCGTGCTTACTTATTGGCAATCGTGGATCAGGAAAAACGGTATTAGTTCGGAAAGTAATCCAAAGTCTTCAAAAAGAGCATAAAGACAATTTCCTGACGGTGGAACTGAACGGACTCATACAAACCGACGACCGAAGCGCGTTACGAGAAATCACGAGACAGTTGACTCGAGAATCGCAAATGGAAGATAGAAGCTTTGTAAGTCTTCCTCCTGACACACACTCTATTCTCTCGCTCCCTTAACTAATCGTTCTTCTTATAGACGTCGTTTGCTGAATCGCTGGCGTTCCTTCTGTCGTTGCTGAAATCAGGATCAAAGTCAACAACACCGGTCATTTTCATATTGGATGAATTTGATTTATTTGCTCAACATACCAAGCAGGCTTTGCTTTATAATCTTTTTGATATTGCTCAAAGTTCACAAAATCCTATTGCCGTGATTGGCTTAACGTGTCGCTTGGTAAGTCAGTTAAACATTGACTTCAATCAATGTTCTGAAAGCTAAATGTCTCTCCACTATACCTGGCTATATTGTGATTACAGGACACTATGGAGCTATTGGAGAAACGTGTAAAGTCACGATTCTCACATCGACAGATATACCTTTATCCGCCATCAAGTTTTGGAGATTTTTCTAGCGCGACGAAGAGCGTTTTGTCGCTTCCTATGTCTGACTCCATAACAGATGAAAATCATACAACTTACATACGTAATTTCAATGAAGCTTTAGATGTAAGTCGTCCTTGAAGGAAATCGCCATCGGTGGTCCCCAAAATTTAACCTAGTTTTACAGACCTTGTTCCAGGACCCATTATTTCTAGCGGTCATTCGACGTATCTTTGATCTGACCAAAGATCTGCGCATGGTTTTTAAAATATGTGTAGGTTAAACTTTTTTACCTGGCCCAATTGACCAAACCTACAAAAAACTGACGCAAAACTCTAGTTTCAGCCCGTCAGTTCCTTGTCAGCTCAGAACCCATTCCTAACGGCAACACAATTTTATGATTCTGGAATCATGCAGCGTGCAGATTCCAAGACTGAACTGTTGAAAGGTAGAATATCCCACTGTATATGCATTGCCTCCGTGTACGCCTTACTTACTTTGTTCTCTTAGGCGTATCACTATTGGAGCTCATATTGATTGTGAGCATGGGCAAGCTTCTTGATCGAGAAACGTCAACCTTTAACTTTCAAATGGTTTATGATGAATACAAAGACTTTATGAATATGACTCAAGCTAGTGGACACAGCTTTGGAATGAAACTATACAAGCGCGCGGTTGCCCTTAAGGTAAGTAGCAACAAGCTGTCAATTAAACCATGATCTCTTTTTTCCTAAAACATTCTCATTATTCGATTTAGGCTTTCGAACACTTGCAGTCCTTTGAACTGGTCTGCCCTGTCGAATCTGTCGCAAAATGTCCAAAAGAATATCGAATGATGAAAATCATGTTAGAACCTAGCCAGATCAGCAATGCTGTCGCGAAGTACAGAGATTGTCCAACGGCCGTTAAAAAATGGGGTATTGGCAATCCACTGTAATAATGTAAATAAACCACGCTATATTCATTGTAGAGCTATTTGTGAATGACCCCTGTGCCCACTTGGTGGTTGAGTGATAGCGGCATCTTGATTGCTTGACACTCTAAAAGCTCCTATGTATAGATATCGCTACAATATCCAATGGAAATACACCTTGTTAGCAAAAGTCGATGGCAAGTACCTTTTCGAGAACGCAATGCAGCTCATGTGGGCTGTCTTCATTCCCTCCATTGACGAGATCGTCTGAATCTCGGGTACCAACACCGCCGGTCGTGGGACATGATATACAATTTAGAAACAGGCATAAAGCCTGTAATTTATGATTAAATTTACAATAAACGTTACTGTAATAGATGGTATGTATGTGGAGTGAAATACTACAATTGACCATGGTGGTCAAGCTACAGCAAAAATGACATTAACTATTGCTTGATATCTGATATCTTTACAACGATAGGTTGACCCAAGACGCTTAGGAATTCCGCCGCATTGAATACAGTACGTTCATAGTGTGGCGCACCGTTATTCAATGTTCCTTCTTCGTTCACGGCCAGGAACCCTGGTTTGTATTTGAAGGTAAGGTAGAATGTGTCTGGTTTTTGTGGGTGGCCACAGTACATCAATAGCTGTTCATTCGCGTTGACTGTGGACGGATCGACAAAGACCACAGGGCCAGTTGAATCGCAACTAAGGATATGACCGTTGTCATTGTATATCCAAAAGAGATCGCCTAACTCTATCTTGTCCATGGAAGAAATCAGAGGCAAAGTCAAAAAACGAATTACAAACACTTTTGAGGAGTTTTAACGTGTACCAATTTGCGGACCCTCAATTACCTTCGAGTCATTCTGACTTGAGGCACCTGCCGCATGTTCCCAACTTTCTGAAATCCGTTTAGCTTTCCTCTATTTTCAATGGCGAAATGTAAACTTTTCGGATAGATCATTTCGTTTGACATGCTCAATAAATGTCAGTGATTTTTTGTGTTTTTAAATAAAGTACTGAATACATATGATTTACCAAGGTTTAAGTAGCAAAGTAGAGACTTTTTGGAAATCGCGCTTTGTCCTCCGATCAAATTTGTCTCAACGGCAAGCCCCTCCCACCTTATGGAAGTGTATTCTTGGGATATCGTACAAGCTACTATCTTGTCCCAAGCTGAAGTAGCAGGCACGCCTATACCGGAGTCACTTTTTGAAAGAAACAACTTTTTTTCACCCCAAGGCTTGGGATGCAATCTTACATTCTTTGAAGGTATAAATGAGCATGGCTCTGTGAAGATTCCAAAATATCGCCTAGTTAATCTGTGATATTAGGGATCTCTGAAAACGGAGTCTTCGATTTACTAGTGTCCAGCAAAGGCGCAGAGAAGCTTGCGGAATATGTCTCTCAGGAATATCTTGGGACAAGCGGTGGACTGACGCTATCTGGTATACCGCCACATGTCTATACCGATATCACACCATGCAACATATCAACAGCACAGCAATTCACCAAAGCTGTACAGAAACTCAAGAAACGGAACAAAGCCAATGACCGGTTGCGGGATGCCATTGCTATGTGGAAGAATGCATCTGATCTTGTCAACTCAAAACGATATGTTTTCATCAGTTTTGATATCGAAGTATACGAAATGGATCATAAAATTTTACTGGAACTAGGCTGGTCAATGTTTGACTCTCAAACAAATCGGTATATGGATCAACATTACATCAACAGCACTTATCGGCATTTGAGCAATGGCCGTTTTGTGGACGACCAAAAACTCAAATTCATGTTTGGCGTTTCAGTGTGGGCTTCGCTAGACCAGGCTCTGACGGAATTTCGAAAAGATTTGGATTGGTGTGTGCGGCGAGATGGCGGTTATGTTCTGGTTGGCCATGGATTGGAGAATGACTTTAAATTTCTTGCCATGCAAAAGTTCAAGTGGCCAGTTGCAGGCGGAAGAGGTAGTCATAACGATGTCAGTCGTAGTGCTGTTGTAGCTTCCTTGGATACAGAAACATTGTATGGTGCCTACAGCAATAGCCTACACAATCCACCATCTCTCGGCCGTTCCATGGATAATCTCAATCTTGAATCATGGTGCCTACACAATGCAGGTAACGAGATTGTGGATGAATGCCACCAAAATGTTTGGATTGGTCCTATTTGTTTGTCGCCATTTTACTCATTGATGTTCATTCTAGGTAATGATAGCCATTATACCATGGAGTTATTTCTTCATCTTTGCCAGAAATACCCGTCCACAAACGCTCAGGCTAGTTAGCGACTGCGCCAAACTTATCGCAAGATGATCACAGTGTGTGTACCGATTGCGATTCAGCCTTTGCCGTAGAAAGCATTGATTAATACGACCTAAGCCCTATCGTCACCATTAGTCATTTTTATGCTTTCAGTTTTATTTATTGACAGCAATGAAATATATATTCCATGACATGATCTATTATTTGGGTGCGAGGGGTAACATCTCCCGTACCAGATAAAAAAACAAGAAACAACAGATTTACATCATCAACCGTAACCAAAACAAAAAAAAAGGTGAAAGAGGGGAAATAAGCGAGACAGTAAAGAACGCTAAAAATCCTAATAATGGAAATACTTTTTGTTGGTTTACTGAGGTTGAGGCTGAGGGGCTTGCTGCATTCCAGCCTGGCTATACTTGATTATATAACCCTTGATAGTGGTGTAAGCATGGCCGACCGCAGGTGGGATAGAGGGGTGAGCGTTAGGAGGTAACAACAACTTATCCATGCGATTGTTCAAATCACGGAATGCGCCACGAGTATAGGACGACAAATGGAAGCGCAGACGCAGAAAGTGAGCAAATAACAGAGGGGCCAACAGAGAGCTTTGGAAACTGAGTGTTCGATTGGGGGTGTAAACATTGGTCAATTTTTCGAGATCGATCAGGAGTAGTAGACCTGAAGGAAACAATTTCTCCCATCGCGAAAGGAACACTTACGTGATAGCACCAAGGATCAATCGACCCATCACACCAATGACCTCAACTTGGGCAACAAATTTCATAGCGGTACCATATCGCATATCAGTCCAAGCCTTGATTTTACGTTGGAACTTGGTTTGCCAAGCATTGTTAGCAGCCGCTGCAGCTTCTCCGTTGGATTGCGAAGATGCCACTGGGAAAAGTGTAGGGATGACGTTGGAACGCAAATAGCTGGAGGCATGAAAAACCGAGTAGGTGGCGAATGGAACCAGTGTAACTGTGTACGGTCGGTCATGCACGCACGTCAGAAAAAAGTTTCTCTATTCACACACTTTTACCGCATCCAATGCCTTACCTGTAATGGGCTTATTGCAATACCAGTAGAATGCGAGCATAAAGTACTGAAAATTCTCATCGAGCATAAGCTTTTGCAAGTACTGAGCGTTGGCTTGTGGCATCTGTATTGTAATTTGCACGATGAGCGTTAGTGCGCCACAAAAACAGTGATCCGAGATCCGCTAGCTACGGGTACTTACGCCGAGAGATTTATAGACAACTACACCATAAGAAACTAAGGCACCAATGAAGGCGACTGAGTATGCACGTGAGTTACTTTTGAAGGTAATGAGCGAAATAAGGTAGAATAAGGTGCCAGCCAAGACGGCGACGTGTCCTAGAAACCAAGCAAATTGAGGGTTCTACGCAGATGCGAGTGATGTTAATACTATAGTGGATTGAGCGTGGCCCATCGCTGAAAGAGTTCAATTTACCTTGACAAGTTTGAGAACGCGATCTTGGAAAGGGAGTGCCGGAGACGTCGTTGCCATGGAAAACGAGAGATTGGTATGGAATCCTAACAACCCAGTGCCGGCCACTGGGGTTTCAAAAAGGCTGGGCAAATGTGACTTCCGACCATTTTGCGAACAAAAATCCAAATCTTATTGCAAAGGTGACGTAGATAGCATTGAAAACCTGTTGAATTAACACATCAATTACAGCAGGGTTCTTTTTATTCCCAATGTCAGATACGGGCGAATGTTTAGACGTCCTTCATAATAAAATAATTCCTATCGCTCACTACTTACCGCTTCACTACTGTTTGCATAATTTTTGCCCATCTCCACGTAAACATGTGCATTTTTTGCCATGTGTGTAACCAATCGTATCATGCTGTACTCGAGCTCTTGCTTCGGTTCACCACATCTGGTGTACTTCCTACCTCTCACAAAGCGCAACTGTCAAAATAATGATCGGGTGTCATTATTCTGAATGACATCCAATTGAGACAAAGACGCAGGCAGCATGGAAGCTCCTCCGCATGTTCTGCTGCTGGCAATCCGAGTACTTTCATGCTCACAAAGCATATTGCTGCTCCAAATTAGAAAAAGAAACAGTACTTTGTCCAGTTGTCAAATCGTGACCTACTGTTTGAGCGAGCGGAATATCGCTTCAATGCATGATTGCAGTCACGTCAACATAGAGAACATTTGGGGAAAAAAAGCGTTGGTGTACGAAGCAAACATTGATCAGCCTAACAGAGTCTCCTAGCTGGCAAATCGATTCCCAGTGTCTATAGAAATTGTTTCTGTGCGAGAGGATGAGCATGTTATGCACTGTGTCACGGCGTATTCCCAATCTACGTTATAGACTTTACCGATAACGGCAGGTCACCGAACGACATCGGGCAGTAAAGATCAGTAGCTAATTTTTATAAGCGCAGATTGGTCCGCCCTTCCGATACAAATTATGTTAAAGCGTGATCGTCCTTCCGCCTTCCCTTGCATGATTAAAGCATGTCGCCGACTCAGGTGCATGGTAGAATGGGGTATATCTCCTCCACTTGCTTTAATCCTGCCACACCAGCAAAAAAAGAAATTGGAACCCTCTACAACTGCTAGGCAGATAACTGAGGTTTACGGTGTAATGAGCCGAATTTAGCGGCTGTGTAAGAACCACGAATGAGTATTTCAAGAGATCGTAAACATTCGGTTTTAAAAGTCTTATTCTCGATTTCTCATGCAATGTATGCCAACACTCATGACCACAGTAAGATCAGATACATACAGCCGCGAATGGCTTTTTCAGTACGTAGCTAAAACTCGGAAAACAACACTACAAAATCTTGGGCAGGCAGGCACGGTGCGTTGTTCATAATGGAACCCTATGACCACTGTTGGTGGTACAATGAACTCCATGGGTGTGACAAAACCGGATGAACAGAAGTAGATGCAAGTTTATTATACAGTGTGTGACCCAGGCGGGCTACTCTGGAATGTAAGGCGTAAGTTTGGAGGGAGGTGATAGCAGAAATGAGATCCAGCGAGGAATTAGTAAAAAACGAGTCGATAAGGTAAATCGAGAGGACGAACGGCATTTAGCATCCTTCAACAGCCTATTGTATCGATTGACTTGGCCTGTGATCTAAGCACGTGCTCATGAAGGAAATCTATGCATCCGCCATGACAATATATCTGCAAACAAATCCGGATGGTTTTAGTCAGGTAGGGTGAGATTTCATTCTCGGCCATAAAATTAGTAATTACCCTTTGTCTGCTACGACACCACGGCACTTGACAAATACAGTGTATTTAAGAACCCAGCGAGGGTGTAATGTGGCATTTTCACCCACTAGGTTTTGAGCCTTCATTATTTTGTTAAGGGTCTCCTTAGGCAGGATGTCTAGAAGAAGAGAAAAAAAAATTAATATAACGTGATCAATTGCGCAATTTTGTAGAGATGTTGCTCCGATCGCCTGACTTACCGGAATAATCACTATGTGCTAATAATTCTATATTGTTGGCCTTTGCGTAAGTAATCAAATCTCTGGGAAGCTGGCAGCATTCAGCAAGATCGATCTGATTCACAGCGGGTTGAACTTGAACTTTCTGTGAGAATGACTTTAAGTCAGACTGGCTGAAGTCAGTTACGCCTAACCGTTCAACGACTTTATTTCTATGCAATTCTTGCAGACTTCGCCAGGCAGGCAAAACATCGTCGTTGGTAGCCGAAAGGATAAAGTTCTCGATAGTCGATACGCCAAGGAGTCGGTGAAGATGGTTGAGAGATTGAGTGACGGCGGCTTGCGAAGGGTCGGAGCCAAGGATGAACAATTTTGCTGGGGTTTACGAAACGATTGGATGATTAATCACTCCCGATATTTTTCTTTCGGCGCTGACTATGCAATCGTATCCTTACCGGTGATTTCAACATCCTTCCTGTCTTCTACAGGAACAATGCTGCTTAATCGCAAATCGGGAACTTCCAAAAGTCCACTGTCTTCATGATAGTGAAAAGATGGTTGATCAGACACATGAAAAGATGTCCTGAGGGTATCATTGATAGCAGCTACAAGCTAGAATGATAATAAAGGTTTAATAATCGTTCTCGAGTCGTATGCTTTCATGTCATATCTTCCTTACTTCAAGGTTGGACTTGGTGCTAAGAGAATTATTCTTCCCGGCTATACTTGTCTTCATGACATTGCCAGTGTATAGTACAAGGTGATCGAACTTTGGTACCATTGGCATGGAGCCGTTCCAATGCTGAGTGGTAGTAGAAACAGTCATCAATTGATAATGGAGTTATGGGCAAAGGTAGGAATTATTAGAGAGATAGAAGAGTTGTAACGAAACCAAAAAAAAAAAAAATGGACGATTACAAAAATATGGGATTCCACCAAGTCGTGACTGCTTACTTGACAAATCAAACTCCCAAAAGCAGCAAAGTCGGACAAAAACCATCAGTGAGAACCGATACTGAACGATACAGTCTCATTCGGTGGATTCGAAAAGAAATTAAAAATATACGATTTTTACTTGTCTAACTTATTTTAAGTTGCAATAGTACAGTCTTTCATACATGGTATCATACAGAACCCTCCTGATGACTAATATAATAGGAGGGGTTGAGGTCGGTTGGGCTATATAGAAGCCGCTCGGCTGCGCTTCACAAGATTCGATGTTGAACCAACTTCGAATGCTCGTCCTGATTTCTCGTCGGGTGACTTGATTGCAAGCTCCTCCTGACTGACAGAAAAAGATTGGCGCTGGCGTGGACCTTTCATGGCCATTTCGTTTTGAGCCGCCGTGCCTCCACGCGCAATGGAGTCAAGTAAGTACACACCCATGAAGATGATAAGGAATCCGCACACTAAGCTGATGGTATTCACAACGCCTGCGGAGTTCCAGCCCTATAATATTAACAACGGTGGCAAAAGATCAGCCATAGATTCAATGTAAAGTTTGCCGATCTAATCTCAATATAGTCACGGGTCTTACATGGTACATGATGGCTGAAGCTACCAAGGTTGCCGTCGTAAAAAAAACAAAGTATATTGGGTTCACCCTATACACGTTCACGTTAGCATGGTATCGTACATAAAGTGTCTAATGTCATGACGATGTGAATACTTACACATTAGTCGAAAACGTATCGAGGGCCTTGTTGAAGTAATTAAGTTGAATAAGAATGCATATAATACACATCACCATGAAGAAGTAGGTTGATGGATGCGTGAACTGGTTGGTTCCGCTGATGGTGAGACGAACAGCTATACCAAACGCTTTGATGGCCATAACGCTAAGCGATCCGACGAGAGAGCAAATCGTGACATATACAATGGGCTTCGTCCTTCCCCACCTTGGCACAGCTCGCCATATCATAAGAATGGCCACAATAACGACGAGAACGCCGTACACAATAAAGCCAGGCTGCAGCATGTAGGATAGTAATTCCTGGACACTTTGGACATCTGGATCCTCTGGAGCATGCAATACGATAATAACCGCTCCAATAAGTGATAATACACATCCGATTATTCCTATTGGGCCCAACCTCTCCTTGAGAAATATGGCAGCCATAATTGCACTAATGAAAGTATAGCAAATAACATTTTTCGTTAATGATTCCAATTGGGAAATATTATGTTTTTTTTCTAAATGGCAATCTCGGTATTCAAACTGGATTGGAGAATCTTACCCTATGATGACACTCAAAGCTCCAAGCGGTGTGATGAGAATAGCCGGAGCAAAGGTATAGCCTACACCACAGGTTAATACATCGTACGTCGATCCAAATTGGGGTAAAAAGCTAAAATAGAAATAAAGTACTTGCCGACAAAATTGAGGAGTTCACCTGCAATCATCGTGATCATACCGGCCCACCAGACGGGGTTTTTGAGATATTGGTAGCTATCGGAGGAGTGGCCTGTTTAAACAATAGGATAAAAAGGATGAGATACTGTGCGTTTATGACTTGGCGCTAATAGCGGAGGGTTAATTATGTCTCAAACGCCGGAATCCCTGAATATCCAGTTGATCAGGCGTTTAAGGCGATCAAGTGGTTGCAGCGTTTCGCCAAGGTGGAAGGTTAATGAGCGGCGGATTGATTGACGACATTTTGGACATTGTTTTGCATTCGAACATTTGAGGGAGAGAGTCATTCCCTTGGGAGTAAGAGCAACTAAAAAGGGATACTGACCATTTGTAGTCTTGCTCTTTTGTAGGCCTTTCTTCGTTATAACAAAGGATGTGCCTATGAGCAGACTTGAGCACAAGGCCAGAATTAAACCGATATATTTGCCATCAATCATTAAAAGGGACAAGTGAGAAAGGAAAGGAACGAGAGGAGCACACTTTTAAAAGGTATCAGGCAGGCGATTTTTTGATCCGCAAAAGAACAATGCGGTCATTGGTTGTTACCAAAAATGCCCAGCCTATTATCCTGATAGCAACAGTGCGGGGACGATTATACCGATTTGATACATGCGTTGAATATGTAGCTATCCATCCTACATGATTGCTTTCGCTCGACTTCCCTTCTTCATTGACCCCCCAGTGGCGATGATTCAAGGGCCATCCGTTCCTGTTGGCTCACCCATACCCCCACAAAGTGAACTGGGCTACTTTTGGGAATCATTTTGGGTTAGGGGATTTGTGACGTGCCATAGTTGCAGCTGGATCAGGCAAACTCGTTCTCAGCTCCAAAACTCGCGTTGCTGGGGAGAAATTTGCAGTCCACGCAGAGTCCCAGTCGTATTTAAGTTCTTTGCCTGCCCACCCGCTTTCATACTCAAGTAGTCCCTCTGGTATTTTTTATCTCTGATCGACTTAGAATCACAGCATGGACGTATCAACACTCCTTCAAAGCTCACTATCGACGGGTAGGGTTACTACTTTTCTATAAGGCGTCACAAGGCGACACACAGTGAATGATAGTGTTCCCAATCAAATATTTAAAACCTTAATTTCGATCAGATCAATCCATACGTGAAGATGCCACTGCAAAACTCGAGCAGATGTCTCGAGAGAACTACGTATGAATCAAAATCAACCCATGATTACCCAAATGCTAAATTATATTTGACACTAACTGCGCCATCGCTCTTTGGTAGGCTGCCTATGTAGCCGTCCTTAACCAAGTTTTTGCAAGTGAGCAAGCCGATGGCACGCTACGACAGCTTGCGGGATTGGCACTTAAGAATTCCTTGGTTGCAAAGGTGAAGTTAGTTTTTGGCCACGTTGTATACCATATGGCAAAACTCATGTATGTGGCCCGTTCATGCAGGAGAATGTAAGGAAAGAAGAGTATGCTCAAAGATGGTTATCGGTTGAACAAGGTGTCCGTAATGAAATTAAGCAAGCTGTAAGTGTGCAATTTTCCCGCATCATCCACAGTCATAAGCACGTCATCTAACATGGAGTGATCCAAAGGCATTGAGGACGTTTGGAAGTGCTGGTATTGCACGTAGTACAGCACCTCAAGTAGTGTCTGCTATAGCTGAAATTGAACTTCCAACAAACCAATGGTCAGAATTGATCCCAACCCTGTTGGATAACGTTACCAACCAAGAAAGCGCTTTGCAGCGTCAAGCTAGCTTGCAAACTCTTGGCTATATTTGTGAATCAACAGTCAGTTGTCTTTCTTTGTACGTTTGGTGGCGATTCCAGCAGATATTGACACTCCTGATAACTGTAGGAGCCAATGGTGCTTGCTATTAATGCAAATGAAATTTTGACGGCCGTTGTTCAAGGAGCTAGAAAGGAGGAAACAAAGTGAGTACAATTTGTAGATGTCTTGTGAACGATGAGACTCATCACTTATATACTCAATCGTATATTTAAAAAGTGATGATGTTCGAATTGAGGCCCTCCATGCCCTTTACAATTCTTTAGAGTTCATCAGAGCAAACTTTGAGCGAGAGGTTGGTCCATCTATACCTTCATTGTACCATTGCGAAAACTGTTGTTGACTCATCCATATGCTCATAGGGAGAAAGAAATTTCATCATGCAAGTCGTTTGCGAAGCTACTCAGAGCAGTGACGAACGCATTCAATTGGCTGCATTCGAATGCCTGGTACGCATCATGCATTTGTATTATGACAAGATGCGTTTCTACATGGAAAAGGCCCTTTTTGGCGTTAGTATTTAATCTGCTTCTGATGGCGTATGAAATTGCATTTTTTGACATTGTACCTATCGGTTCAACCTTATGTAGTTGACGGTCCTAGGAATGAATTCTGAGCACCAGGGTGTTGCCCTTCAAGCTGTAGAATTCTGGTCGACGGTGTGCGATGAGGAACTAGAGTTGCAAGAGGAAGCAAATGAAGCGTTTGAAGTCGGTGAGCAGCCAGAACGGGTCAGCTTTGACTTTGCAAAGACAGCAGCACCTGAGATTTTACCAGTTCTCTTGTGGATGCTGACCCAGCAGGTACGTACAAAATCTTGGTTAATCAGTTTCCGACTTGATATTGACAACAATTGTTAATTTTCAACTTAGGAGGAAGATGCTGATGAAGATGAATGGAATATCGCAATGGCGGCTGGTACTTGCCTTGCTCTGCTTGCACAAACCATTACAGACCACATCGTGCCACCTGTCATTCCATTCGTAGAATCAAACATACAAAGTACCGAATGGCGATACCGTGAAGCGGCTGTTATGGCATTTGGCTCCATTTTGGAAGGACCAAATCCTCAGATTTTAACTCCTCTGGTCAATCAAGTAAGTAACAAAAAGAGATAGGTAAAACGTGAGAATGGTGTCTTCAGCTTTACATATTGCTGACAAATACACGTGTGTGCAACATCAATCAGGCACTGCCGACTTTGATTAATATGATGCGGGATCCTGATGTCAATGTGAAGGATACTGTCACCTGGACACTCGGTCGCGTCTCTGATGTGTTGGTGGAGTGCATTAAGCCAGATATACATCTTCCGCAATTGGTATCTGCCTTGGTGTTAGGTCTTGAAGACAATCCCCGAATTGTCGGAAACTGCTGTTGGTCTCTTATGAACCTTGCCGAACAGCTTTCCAATGCCGATGATACAGACCAAGAGACTTCGCCATTGTCTCGATATTTTGAAGGCGTCATCACTGCCCTTCTTCGCATTACTGACCGCCCTGACAACGAAGCAAACTCTAGAACGTCAGCATATGAAGCGATATCCACGTTTGTGTCCACAGCCGCAAAAGATTGCTACCCTAATATTGAAAAGGTCGCCATCACAGTGTTGGAGCGCTTGGAGCATACCTTATCCGTCCAGGTATATACATTGGCTGTGAACGGTGCATGGATCATGAACAAATGTTTAAATTTTTACTCATTGTTGCTTATGAAATCACAGAACCAATTGATAGGGAGTGATGAGCAAAATGCCCACTATGAACTGCAGTCTAACCTTCTTAGTGTACTGACGGTAAGTAGTCATTGTAATTGCAACAGCCATTGACTAGTGAATGGAATACACTAAATCAAAAAATTCCCGCCATTTTAGAGCTGTGTCCGCAAATTGGGCAAAAACATCAGTAGCATCGCGGATCGTATCATGACAGTGTTCTTACAGATCCTGAACTCTCAAAGCAAACACTCCACTACCAAGGAAGATGTTTTCATCGGCGTCGGTGCCTTAATAAGCGCACTAGAAGCAGATTTTGGACGATACCTTGAACCATTTATGCCCATCTTGTATAGTGCTCTTCAACATCCCGAAGAATATCAGTTGTGTGGCATCGCCATTGGACTGATTGGCGATATCTGTCGAGCCCTAGGAGAAAATGCCGTCCAGTACAGTAATGCGTTCATGGAACTATTGATTCAGAACCTTCAAAGCCCAGTGCTCCATCGAAATGTCAAGCCTGCTATTCTTTCATGTCTTGGTGATATTGCCTTGGCCATTGGCGGGCAATTCGAGTCATACTTGAACGTCACCATGATGGTCCTCCAGCAGGCTGGTAACATGAGAGCAGACAAGGTAATCATCATCATCGAAAATATAAGCCACCCGAACACGTTGCTCAATTCATACTTACGTCTTTCAGACTAATTTGGATATGATCGAGTATGTCAATCAATTACACGAAGGAAATGTTGAAGCTTATGTTGGCATCGTTCAAGGACTTGCGACAGGTGGCAAAAGTAAGTAATTTCAGGCTTAAAGAATGGAAAAAATTTTCGTTGTCATCTTCGTTCAACCTCAGCTAACGGAACGCCTCACTTCTTTCATGAAGCTCCTTTGATCGCACCCTATGTGCCTGGGATGTTCACCTTCCTTAGCATTGTGGCTGAGGATGAGTATAAATCAGATACCCTTGTTAGAAGTCTTGTAGGTTTAATTGGTGATTTAGCGGATGCTCTGTATGGTACGGATGGCAAGCAGTTCTTCCAGGTAGACTGGATAACCCAAACCCTCAGAGAGGCGAGATCTAGCAGGCATTACTCCCAGAGCACCAAGGAAGTGGCAAGGTGGGCCAAAGAAATGGTGAAACGTACTTTGCAATCATAGAATATTGTGCCTTTCAAATTACATATTACCCTCAAAAACAATTTTTTTTATACATATTCAAATTCTCCACCACTAAAGTTGCGCTTTTGAGCATTCTCGCACTTTTATTATCCAGCGAGCACATGATATATTCAATTGGTTACCGTGTATGTATTAGAATTCAAACGTATATTTTGTTCTCGAAACGATGTGGTGGTTATTTTGTTCACGGAATGGGGAGTGGGCCATGCTTACAACACATTACAGCAGAACCACATCAACAAAACAAATTAATGCAAACCTTACATTTGATGACGTTAAACCGTTTTTTAATATAAGGGAGAAGTCAATACATGAGGAAAAAACATCAGCTAATCGTTTTCTTGCAACCACATTACACAATACAGAAGTGTTGAAACAATACTTCCTTACAGATTAAAGCTGGGTCTCAAAACGGCCGATTGTCTTTCAAATTCTCGCACATCCATCTTCCACAGCAAATGATCGTTCGTTCTGAGCTGTGACAGCTTTCGAGGAGGGACAATAATAGGTGGCGGACAAACAGAGTTGGTATAAGTTCATTATTGGCAAAATCCGTGCATGTTTAATTTCTAATTAGCGGATATCTCATTGCCAATGCATATGTCGGACGTATCTGTCCAAAGCGTGTGTGTGAGTGATGCTTGAAACATTGAGAACACGGGTGAAGCATAAACGTCGAAACCTGTTCAACTCCGAAAAGAAGTCACGTGAAGTAAGAGAGTCGAAAAATTTTTTCTCAATTTCCAATGTATTTAAGGTCAGTAGGCAGGCGCAAACGATTCTTCTCCTAGTTTTCACTTATCATACAAATAGTAAGTCTTCTACATTAATTGTTTAACTATGCCGTTCAAACGCGGTGTCGATACGTCTACCATGAAATAGAACTAACCATGATTCGTCTCTCTAGTGCGTGACAAGTGGAGAAAGAAGCGTCAGAGACGCCTCAAGCGTAAGAGAAGAAAGATGAGAGCTAGATCTAAATAAGCGTATCGCTTAACTAGCTAAGGCCTCTACTTCCAAAGCCAAGCAAACCCACAAGAACCTCTTTTCTCCTCGGTTTCCAAGTCTAACATTTGAACATCATGGAATTTTTCTGTCGTTGCCCTCGAATGGTGTATAAAGTCACCGGTTGAAAAATAAAAACCCACCAAAAAGTCTTTTTGTTTTAAAAGCTACAAAGATTTTGCCAGTTGTGTTTTGTTTTGATTTTGTTAAAGAAATGACATGAATGCACTGTCCAATTTGTTCGGGGCAGACCATGAAGCGCTCAACTTTGGTTTCGTTTGTTTATCGTTTCTGTGCTCAAGAAGTGTTGGAACAGAAAAAAAATTTTTACTGAGGCTGTTCGAGGACCAAACCGCCCAGCCCATCCTCACGCTGACAATGTTTGAGCACCAAAATGTAATAAATAAATAAAGGTGGATATGGACACTTTATGGTATGAACGATACACATGGATCGAGCATCACACTATACAGACTAGAAACGCTATGCTTTTTTTTTTTTTTTTTTGGTGTCTTTACGAGCTTAAACGAGTATTGCTTGGTGGTAGAACTGCAGGCACGTCATTTGTACAGTCACGCTGTCCCAACCGTCTTGGACAACCAACCAAACCCACCGAACCCTAAAGCCCAGCCGGCGATATAAAAAATAATAGACACCACAAAAAAGATATCTCACAGCCATATCGCTTTCGTAACAACAAGAGAGATTGAACTTTGCTAGCCCCATTGGCTTGCCCACATTCAATGTCATTCACCCGAAGACCTTCGGATCAATCCTCGTATCCTCCTAAGCAGCAGGAACCACCTCAACGATATCCGCAAATGCCCACGCATCCTGCAGACCAGCCATCCGCAGCCAAAGAAGATTGGGAGCCTTATAGTCACCGATCATCAGATGATTCTTATACTGGTACTGGCTCGCTTCCACCTTTACAAACAAAGGTGCCAACTTCTTACGAGTATAAGCCTTACGCGACAAGACCAGACTACCGACCAGACCAACCTTATCAACAACCCACTTCCCCACCCAGCGCCTTCCGCCCCTCTTCTTCCTCCTCTTCCTCTACAAACACCTCATGGGACTACAGCGATGCTCGCATGCAACAGATATACCGAGATCGTACATTTCATCAGGTATATGTTTTTTTAAGAAAAATCATTGTACTCCTTTTGAGTTAGTACGCAACCTTTCCAGCGTATAGCATTTATCTAACTTCACACTTTAAAATGATTTAAGTCTACGCCAAGATATGATACTCCATCTCATAATCAACAGCTGTCACGAGAATATCATCGCGATCCTCCAGTGGCTGAACACGCTTCTAAAACCCCTACATATCCCCAGAAGCAAGATCATAGTCAACCAGGTCAGCAAATTGGACAGCCTTACCAAGGGGACGCACATTGGTCAAGACATGGCCATCCAGACCAAGATCAGGTAAGAGTATGCAAAAATAAGGGTCGACCTTCTAAAGAAAGGCTACAACAGTTTATACTGACTTTGTTTATGTAGAGCCAATACAGAAATCGATCTCAGTTCCAGTCAATGGATAGAGCTGAACCGACCATACGGGTAATTTTGAAATACTTTAAGACTGAAGTGACATTCATAAGTAAGACACTTTTGCTAACATACCTCCCAAACCTGTGTAGCATGTGCTCTACAGCCCACCAAGGTCTGCTCAACCGCCAACTGGTTCAAACCTAACGAAGTCTCCTGGTTTTGTACCCCGCGAAAAAGTCATTTCTCCTGTCATGTCGATATCCCGTCTTTTGAGCGATAGCAGCAGCGAACAGCAAAGTGAAGAACCGTCTGAAATGGCAAGTCAACAACCGGCGAGAGACTTTGTCGCTCAACCTCCACCCCGTTCTTCCGCCTTTCATGCCACCAATGCCGCCTCACATGGTTACTCGACAAATCAGGACGTTGAGCGATCTCCCGCACACGCCCCAATGTCTTCTTCCGCTGGCCCTGTGCGACATAATGGAATTAATGATTTGCTTAACCATGGTGGTGAAGGTAACCGACGCTCTTCGCAGTCTTCAGAACTGACACCCCAATCCTCACTGGATCCGAAGGTACGCACCTAGCTTTGTATAAGAAGGAAGCTAGTTCAATTTATATTTTTGCGATGTATGGGGCGTATACTTTATGATACTAACTCAAATCCATTTTTAAACAGGCTAAGCCTGGACATCGAACTACCTACTCCTTTGGCAAGCAATGTAAGTTTTACAACACTCAATTAATACACTAATTTTTGGAAAAGGCTAACAGCATTTCGTTACTCCAGCCGATTTTCCAAATGTGAAAGTAGAGGAGGTTAATGGTGCCCAACAACCTAATGGTGCGTGGCAAACCCAAAACAATGGTCACTTTCAGCCATCTACTGTGCAGTCGTGGTCTTCTCTGCCGTCTCACAGGGATGCGCACACAGGCGCAAACCATGATCATCCAACGTCCCCTCTATCGTCTTCATATCAAGTGGAAGAGGATAAGGTGCATGCAAATAAGAGATCCGATAAGCGACATGTATCTGCTCGAAATGGCTACATGCCCCATGATAGAGAGCATGAAGCGTTGAGCGACAGTGAGGATGATGACGAGTTTCTACGAACCCATTCATCACATCTTGTCAAATACATGATTGATATTCATAAGCGACGGAAGAGAGTCCTTGAGGAGTACGAACAAAAGCGTGAGGTATGTTAACGATGGATGTACGCAGGCACTCACTTTCCGCATTTACATCATGTATTAATCGATCGACTATCATGCAGAGACGACGAGCTAAGATGCAAGATCAATTAGCACGCATCTATGAAAAGAGACTAGGTTCAAAATCTTCCATGCGACCTGTTACAGGCGACGATGTTATGTCCATCCCCATAGATCTGTTGTTGCGTTCTACCAAAGGAGCAAGTGATTTGTCCAAGAAACATTACAGACGTCAAGGAGACCATTCCTGGAAAAAGTATATGGATGCGAACAATGTTTCTGGAAACACGAGCAATCTTTTCGATATGGCAAATCAAGTGTCACAGGTACGGTATTTGACTGACATGGTACACACCTGAGACCGTAGTTTAATGTATTGATCCCCTGTAGAAGAGTTCACGCAAATCCAAGAAAGGACGATCCAGTTCGCAGCGTAAAGTCGAAGATGAACGACGAAAGATTTGGATTAATATTGCTCGCAAGGATATTCCAAGAGTAAGTTTGATTTCTTTGCCTCAACTTCAATTTCAAATCAACTTTCCTTTCTAATTTCATCGTTATATTATGTAGATGTCCAAGATCCTCTCTCGTGTTCAAGCCACACGCATGGGTAATTGTAAAAAGGTTGCACAATACTGTCAGAAGGAGGCTCGACGAGCTGCTACCAAGTCTGGTAGAGCTCATCGCGATGTTCAAAACAAAGCTAAGAAGGCCATGAAAGAGGTAAGACTATTACTGTTCATGTTATGGCTCTGCACTATTGATTCTGATGATGCCAATCCGATTACTAGATGTTAATGTTCTGGAAGAAGAATGAAAAGGAAGAAAGAGAGCTTCGAAAGAAAGCAGAGAAGGAAGCACTCGAGCGCATTCGTCTTGAAGAGGAACGGAGAGAAGCACAACGCCAGGCGCGCAAACTTAACTTCCTTATTACTCAAACCGAGTTGTATAGTCATTTTATCGGCAAAAAAATCAAGACTAGTGCGGCAGAAGAAGACGACGAAACTGCTACCGATGATAGAAATGAGAATGCTGGTGCGTCTCAGTCCGGCGTGGATCACGATGATTTAGATGAGACTGAAGGCCACAAGGAACTGGATGATGTTGATTTTGACGAAGATGATGAAGAGAAGCTTCGTCAGCAAGCGAAGCGCGGTGCTCAGAATGCTCTGGCCATGCAACTGGAACGGACAAAGGCATTCGACGAAGGTGCTCGCGAGCGTCGTGCTGCGGCCGAGAGTGGCTCATCCTCAATACCTTTGAATGCTGACGACTGTAATTATAAACCCCTTTTTTCTTTACCCTACGTAACGTTGTCGCTTATTAACAACAATTCAATTATAGTTGACTCTGACTCTATGAACTTTCAAAATCCCACCAGTATGGGAATGGGTCCAGAAGTTCAGCAACCAAAAATGCTCATGTGTCAACTTAAAAATTATCAGCTCAAGGGTCTCAACTGGTTGGTCAATTTGTACGAACAAGGTATCAATGGTATTTTGGCTGACGAAATGGGTCTCGGAAAAACCGTACAATCGATTTCCCTCATGGCTTACCTTGCGGAGACAAACAATATCTGGGGACCCTTCTTGATCATTGCGCCCGCCTCTACCCTTCACAACTGGCAACAAGAAGTCACCCGCTTTGTACCAGGATTCAGGGTATATTTTGTTTCGAATTTGCTTGCATCATTTTTGTTTTGAACAAGTTATGTCTGACCGTCCATCTCATATTCTTAGGTCCTTCCTTACTGGGGTAACCCTAAGGACCGAAAAACTCTTCGCCAGTTTTGGACAAAGAAGCAACTCTATGGCAAAGATGCCCCTTTCCATGTTGTCATTACAAGTTATCAATTGGTAAAATATTTTTGCATATCGGCAATTTTGCATAGAGTACACATCATCTCATGATGCATTTTGTTATTCAGGTTGTCACTGACGTGCAATACTTCCAACGCGTCAAATGGCAGTACATGGTAAGAATTCGTGGCGGCGGTTGCAGTGCATACCAGTGGAACCACATACTCATGTCATCTTTTTTAAGGTGTTGGATGAAGCGCAAGCCATTAAGAGTTCAGCCAGTGCTAGATGGAAAATTTTACTAGGTTTCCATTGCAGAAATCGCTTGCTGCTTACAGGAACACCTATTCAAAATAGTATGCAAGGTGAGCATACAATCACAAAAGAAACAATACCTTCTCATGCCACTGCTGATAATCACCTTCTTTATCTCATTAGAACTATGGGCTTTGCTTCATTTCATTATGCCTACCCTCTTCGATTCTCATGAAGAATTCAGCGAATGGTTTTCAAAAGATATTGAGAGCCACGCGGAAAACAAAGGCACTCTCAACGAGCATCAGCTGAGAAGACTTCATATGATATTGAAGCCTTTCATGTTGCGACGTATCAAGCGTAACGTTCAGCATGAACTTGGCGAAAAGGTATGTATTGAGCAAACGGTCTAAGATTTTTAAAGAATTGCCCTTTCTAAGTAGTTCTTGTAGATTGAACTTGAGCTCTACTGTGACCTGACCGCTCGGCAAAGAGCGCTGTACCGCGGCCTCAAAGAAAAACTATCCATCTCAGAACTTCTTGAAAAGGCAACATCTCTCAGTGATTCCGATAGCTTGGACAGCTTGATGAATCTGGTGATGCAATTCCGAAAGGTAAGTAGCCCTTACATCATACCTTATGCCCGCCCACTCATGCCTACATACTTACAAATAAATTGAACAATAGGTTTGTAATCATCCCGAGCTCTTCGAACGTGCAGATGTGCATTCTCCCTTCGCTTTCTGTGAATCTAGTCGTACAATGTCGCTCTCTAAGGAAACGTATCTCAACTGTCCCTACTCCACTGAAAGCGTCATCAAGTTTAAGATTCCAAAGAGGCTGTACCGCAACGGCGGTATCCTTAACATTGCTGGTCCTGACTCAAGAGCTGGTTTTGAGACTAAATATCTAGACCAGTTGCTGAACATTTGGACACCCGAAAACGTCTATAACTCGATGTACTCTGAACAACCAGGTATGTGCACTGTCCCATTTGTTAAGGTTGACCCACCGTCTTTTTCTGACTGAAACGTTTGTTCGAATTTAATTTTCAGATTCTACATTCTCGTTTCTACGGTTTACGGATCTGGATGCATCAGATGCTGTTCGCATTGCTAGAGAGCATGTTATGCAAAGATGGGTTAACCACCTTGCCGTCAGAGACCAAGAGGCCCGGCGCCGATTCTACCTTGACGATTCTAATGTGTAAGTGGATCGGATTATTATAAACATAGACCGTGTATGTGGTTCTCACTAACGAGCGTTATTATCATAGCTACCCAACTGCACCTGTTCATACATATGCTAGCTTCCTCATCAATCAAACTGTATCCCCTTTCGCTGCATCCATTCTTTCTCCTGGTCAGCCTCTATACGAATTGTCACATATCATGGATAATATGACCAGCACCTTTAGCAAAGTTGAGCAGATGTATATACCGACGGTAAGGATCTTTTAAAAATAACGGGTAAACTGACAACTATGACTAATATTGATGCGATATTCAGGCGCGATCACCACCTGTGACTTTAATATGCTCTGATAGGCAGTGCGAAATAGAACAGAGGGATATAATGTTTGATCGTCCTACTCGTGCCGTCCTCTTCGGAAGATTGGATCATGTTCCCAAGGCAGCTAGAAAGGACGCAGCTGAACTCTCAAAGGTTATCACCCGCAATGACGGTAGAGGTTTATTGCCTGTCCCAATCTCCAACAACGGATACTCACTTATCAGAGTACCAGGTAAACTATATATGAATATGACCCGCTAATCATTCAAGATACTGACAGAACTTCTTCATTTAGCGATGAGCGATCTTATTCTTGACTCCGGCAAACTGCACAAACTCGATAAGCTACTTGAACAGCTGAAGGCCGAAGGACACAGATGCTTGATCTACTTCCAAATGACCAGGATGATTGATCTTATGGAGGAGTATATTTCATACAAGCAATATAAGTATATGCGCCTTGATGGATCATCTAAGATTTCAGATCGTCGAGATATGGTCACCGATTGGCAGACTCGACCTGAAATTTTCATCTTTTTGCTCAGTACCAGAGCTGGTGGTTTGGGTATCAACTTAACCGCAGCCGATACAGTCATCTTTTACGATTCCGATTGGAACCCTACGGTTGATCAACAGGCCATGGATCGTGCCCATCGTCTTGGTCAAACCAAGCAAGTTACTGTCTATCGACTCATTACCAAAAACACTATTGAAGAACGAATTCTTATGCGAGCTAAGCAAAAGGATGAGGTAGGCGGAAATCCATGTTATTTTGAATGTAGTATCTACACCATCGCTGGGTAATAATTCATCTAACATTAACTTTTCAATAGATTCAAAAAGTGGTTATTTCTGGTGGCGAGTTCAAGCAAGTTGACTTTAAGCCGCGCGAAATTGTTTCCTTGCTGCTTGATGACGAAGGTATGTTCGCCTTATAACAACTATTTTTCAAATGTGTCTTTTTTTAGCTTCGCATCTAATCAATCTTACCTCTGCATGCAGAATTGGACACTCAAATTCAGCAGCAATTGAAGCGAAAGGCTCAGGAAGATGAGGCAGCAAAGGAAAAGCGTGCAGCGAGTGCAATTAAGCGGCCGCGAAAAGGAGCTTCGAAAGATTCAACTCCATCGGAAACACCTGCTCAGAGCCCTTACGCTGTTGACAAATTATTCTCGGCTGGCGGTGATCATCTCCCCGAAGACGACACGAGCGGCGCGAGCAGTCCGTCACCTTTTGCTTCTAAAAAGAAAACAGGACGTCCCAGAACGCAAATCTCGTTCGGTTAGTTAGTTAGACACATGCTTATATCGGCATAGAAATCCCCAAAAAATTCCATAGCGTCCCAACTCTGTTCTTTCCTTTCGTACTTTCCAAGACATAGTAAATCTGCCTCTCACTTTGTAATATTTTCAAAGGACAGATCACGTTCTAGCTCGAACTACAATGTATACGCGTTATGAGCCAATAACCTAAATTACTAGCCTTGAGAATTTTTATGTTTGGATGAACCACGATATGAAGATACTTTATACAGTTACCAGCATGAAAAGCCTCATTTTATTGATGGCACCTTTGTAGTTTGGACCTCCTTTCTATGCTATGTGGTGGTGCGTAACAAATCAGGAACGTTTCCACGTCCTTCAAAACTGAAAATATACTGCTTAATTTGACCCAGGTCGCAGACCGAACGCTACAAATCCATTATACGAGTCGTGAATCCTAGGATTGTCCACATCCAGTCGCCTTTTTCCTTTGTCATTCACCAGTACTCGCGAGATATAGACTTTATTAATGATGGAGATTTAATTCTTATTATTTATTATTCTCGAAATAAACTCGGAAGTTCGAACACCGTACTATATGCTAAAGCTTACAGTAACCCGCTCTCGCACTCATATACAAAAAAACGAAAGGGCACAAGTACGAGGTAGATAAGCAACAACAGCATAAATCGAAAGCACGATAGCTTTACCACCATCATTGGCTTCTAGTGTGACAAGGAGTTACTTCAGTGCAATCATATCAGTTTTCAGGCTCACATTGCGACAATAGCAAGAAGGTTGAATTTTAATATTCTGTTCAGGTAGGCCAGGAATACCTTCAAAAGCAAGATTTTACACTCTGCCACTTTCCACCCTCTCAGGCGATTTATTGAATTTTTGTTGAATTTAGAACCACATAGTTACTTTCTGTGAAAGGGCTTTATTTTTTTATTCTAAAGATATCAATCAACAAATAATTATTGTCTCACACCGCTAGTTCGAACCGGGTATAACGATGATGGTCCTCTTCCAGTACCGATGCTTTCATAACATTAAGAGCGTCCAGAAAATCTTGTTCGTTTATGTATATTTCGTTTCCTTGAGAGCGCTTAAGAGCACAAAGACCGGCTTTGCGAAGTAACGCCTGCATATCAGCACCAGTAAAATAATTTGTCATATTTGCGAATTTTTCAAAGCAGACGTTAGCATCAACGTGAGATTTCTTAGCTAGAACTCGCAGAATTTGTAGCCTCTCTTCTTCGGACGGCAACGCTACAAAGATGTGCTGGTCCAAACGACCTATGATAAAATACATAAGGTCATCGTTAGATCCCAAATTAGTTATGGCTATACCTCAAGTGCGCTTACCAGGCCGAAGAATAGCCCTGTCTATCTTTTCTGGATGATTTGTTGCCGTCACCACCAATACTCTCTCTTTTCCTTGGCTCAGATTGTCAAGTTCCATCATTAACTGAGATATAAGCTTTGCGATGCCGGCTACGTTAGCACAAGCAAATTTCTCATTGTTCATTTTCCACAGTACCTACCTTATTAGCCAGGTTACCGGTGGCTTCTCTAGATCCAAAAATAGCCTCCAATTCATCAAAAAATATAACGCATGGGTTACAGCGCCTAGCAGTGGAGAATACTCTAGCAACCGCTTTCTCCGATTCACCGACCTGTCCAATTTTTTTTTTTTAAAAAATTGATCTATGATCACTCATTACAGCTTCATACTTACTTCGCCTTTGATAAGCTCGGGTATGCTGATTGCCAAAAAGTTAGCCGAGCACTCATTGGCAATTGCCTTTGCCAGGAGTGTTTTTCCAGTTCCTGGCGGCCCAAATAGCAAAACACCAGTTGTCGGCGATCCACCGAGCCGTTCGTACGCTACTTGATTGTTGTGCATCCAGGATGTACACTCCATTAAGGCGCTCTGGATAATAATAATTTGGCCAATGAGTTCGAATTTCAAACTTCACTACTGCTAATATGTATTGGGTCCTTTACACGTCAAATCCGATTGCTTACTTTCGCCTTTTCCAGACCTCCTATATCTGACCATTTGATAGCTTCAGGCTGCTCCGCTGTTCGTCCTACCCCAGGTCCAATAGCATGAATATTTTGAATTGATTCAATCAGATCTTCCTCGGTTACTGTAATGAGCGAAAATTAATATAAATAATGGCCGTTTGGCATAACGGGCTATTTGAAACTTACTTAAATTACGGCTCTCTCTACACCGAGCTTCATCTGCTATCCGTACTAGCTTGTACACGTCGGCTAATTTATAGCTGTGAAGTCGATCTGCTATGGCTTTCGAATCAAGCGTTGGAGAAAATTGGAACAGTGATCCAATATTACGGAATAGATGGAACCTTTCCTCTGGCGTTGGGATCTCAAATTGTAACACATCCTATATGCGGGGGTGCTCGGATCAATGTTGATCAATGTCCTGATCATAAGATCAAATAAACTTACATCGAAAGATTTCTTGATTCCATGGTCCAGTGAAGCCAAATCAATGCAGCACCCAACCTAGCAACATGGTAAGCACAAAAGCAAACAATCACCAAGATGGGAAGGATACTAACAATTATTGGTTCATTATCCTGATCATTCTGCAATTGATCTAGCACTTGTAGTCTCAGCTGGATGTCGGACAGACCAGACTTTGGAAACATTAACTCAATATTGTCCAGAATTACTGCTTATGATTAGTGATGGTATTATCCGTTTATACGATAAAGCGACAATATATACCTATACTTCGATCCAGCTCTCGAGCACGATTCAGAAGCTGTGTGATGCCTTTTTCCAGTTGATTTGGGTACTCCAGGACTAAGCTTCCAATGGAAGCTTGTAATACCTATTATCCTGTTAATACTCCTTTCCTTTCCAGTACAATAATTATTTTTTTTCACTTGCACGTACATTGAGGTTGTAGTGTTTGGCAGCAATGGCGATTGCGGTGGATTTACCTTGAATGCACAACTTAGCAAGGTGATTTTTTAACCATATTGTACCCCATGACTGTCTCAATGCAAACCTATTCCAGATTCCCCTACTAAGAGCAGTGACCTCAAACGAACTAGATCTGCTTTATCGATTTTCGACTGATTTAACGCTAGTTGGAAGAACTGCTGCAACCTTTGTACGTCTATATTGAGCGCCAATCTTCCTCAAGCTGTACATGCGGTTCTAGATCATACCTGGCACCTGTCTCTCCAAAGCATTCTGGCAGACTATGAATTGGCCAAGTGTCCATCACTCAAAGCAAGACACGAGAGATGGGCTATCGGGGTTTAAAAGTTTTTCTTTATAAACATTGACAATGGTAGTTCGCTGAGAAACAAACGGTACAAAATAGAGGTCATTAGAAGATTGAAAGTAAATAGGTTTGATCATAGTGATATCTTTCAATTGACGTTTTCCTAGTTAGTTAGAGGAGGCTCATCATTAAAGTTAGCAGCACAGAGATCCTCTGAGCTCCACCACCTTGACAGCTACCTGAATTGAAGTCCCGAAAGCAACCAAATTCAGTGGCAAACTTTGATGACGTCTATAGCATTTGACTCGAGAGAAATTTTTCAGAGCCTACTATCAAGAACTTTACCCCACAAAGCTATTCTATAATGGCTGGTGAGAACAATGTGGACCAGATCACGAGCGAGCTCGATAAAGTCCAAGTTAATGGAAACGGAAAGCTTCCCGCGGAGTCCGCGCCAACAGGAGGTACACAAGGCTTCTTATGAATACCGGACAATTCAGTTAGAGACGATTAACCATGTCCATGTCTTACTTGCCTTTTAGTGAAGGAAGAAAAGACCAACGGCAACGATAAAAAAGCCGAAGAAGACGCTGACGATGATGAGGAAGACGACGGAGAGGATGAAGGCTGTAAGCTACAGTTCTAAGTTGGACGAAAGGAGAAGTTTATAATAACACAGTTCTACTACAGCTGCTGACAAGAAGAAAAAGAAGAAGAAGAAGAACAAGAAGAAGAAGAAGTCTGGAAACAAGCAAAGTGAACCTCCTACTGTTCCTTTATCAAAACTGTTCCCCAATCAGATCTACCCCGAAGGAGAAATTGAGGAATACAGAAATGAGTTAGTGCCAAATATCTGTATGATTAGCATTGGTAAACTGTGGACCTGACTCTTTTTTTTCATTAAGTAATACGTGGAGGACAACAAATGAGGAAAAGAGGTACCTAGAACGATCCAACCAAGACCATTATAATGATTTGAGAAAAGCTGCTGAAGTACATCGGCAGGTAATTATGAAATTGAATTATGGTTCAAAGTTCTTTACCAACGTTACTTATGCCCTCACTTGCATTTTTTTAGGTGCGTCAATATGCTAGAAAGACCATCAAACCTGGAATGACCATGATCGAAATTGCTGATTTGATTGAGAATGGCACTCGGGCGTTGGTCGAAGAAAATGGTATGGAAGCTGGTATTGGTTTCCCTACTGGACTTTCCTTGAACGACTGTGCTGCACATTACACACCCAATGCTGGTGACAAGACCGTTTTATCTTATGACGATGTGCTGAAGGTTGATATTGGCACTCACGTGAGAGGTAAGGAAAGATGATAATTTGACCTATATCAAATATTCATTTTTAACTCATATGCTTCCAATTTAGGCCGTATATGCGACTCTGCATTTACTATGAACTTCAATCCAAAGTTCGATAAACTGATTGAAGCAGCTAGAGAGGCTACTAATGCTGGAATCAAAGAAGTTGGCATAGACGTACGTGTATGTGATATTGGTGCTGCTGTTCATGAAGTCTACGACTCCTACGAAATTGAATTGGATGGCAAAACATACGATATCAAGCCCATTCGCAATTTGACCGGACATACCATTGAACCATATCACATTCATGCTGGCAAATCAGTTCCAATTGTCCGTGATTCTGGTGATGAATCCAAGCTTGAAGAAGGTGAATGGCTTGCTGTAGAGACCTTTTGCTCGGTAAGTTTTCCTAGGCTACCCTGTGGCAACCTTTTCGAAATTGAGACTAATGTGACCATTGTAACAGACTGGCCGTGGATATGTTATTGAGCAAGGAGAATGCTCTCATTACGCCAAATCCTTTGACGCTAGCTTCGTACCATTGAGGTAAATTTTATTATCTTAACCACCAAAGTCATGACCAGCTTATCTCATTCATCTCATTGAAATTAGATTGCCAAAGGCCAAGTCACTGCTAGCAACCATCAACAAACATTTCGGTACTTTGCCGTGGTGTAAGCGATATTTGGATAGAACTGGCGAGGAGAAATATGCTATGGCATTGAAGAATCTTGTCGATAATCGCATTGTCACAGCCTATCCACCACTCCACGATACCAAAGGTAGTTACACTGCACAGATGGAGCATTCTATTCTCCTCCGACCAACCGTCAAAGAAGTTATCTCCAGAGGTGACGATTATTAAATCGCATTATTGGTGCAACATGTATATTTTCATCAAAATAAACCCTCACCGAAGTGTGCTAAAAGCTATTGCAATGCTCATACTTATCTTATTGAATATGATATCGTACAAACGGCTAACAAAAAGCAGTGCGCGGGCTCATCTCTTTGCGTTACATTTTATTTCATTTTTCTTGTATTTAGTGTAATTGGGCTACTATAGAATCTTAAGCTTGCTGCGATATATCATATTGAGTGTATATAATAGCTGAGAATGCCTGCAGTTCTTTCACATAACTTAAGGCCTAGTAAAACAAATAAGTAAGATACATTGAAATTGGCATACTGTTTTCAGCAGAAATGGGACCTACGTTAAGATACTCGTTGCTGTTGATGATGAGATGTGACTGGCGACTAACGGGTGGCAACAGGTTGGCAATAGTAACCTTCTTCTCAATTGCTGATGGTTGGAGGTAGTTACTATTGATTTCCTGGATGCGGTCTTCATTTGATACATTGTTTTCTCGATCGAATGGCTTCGTGAAGGTGTTGTGGTAGAATAAAGCAAAAAGTTCTTCCAAACAAGCACCCAACACAGTTTTGAAATCAACGCTGCATAGCAATATTTAGCATCCAATAATAAAGCCAACGTCAACAGTAGAAACCGATATATACCTCTCAACAAAGTCACTAGTTTCGTCGAGTAGTCTACGCAATTTATAGTTCTTCAGACTTTTCTCAGCTTCCTGCGGTGACGTCGCATAGCCTGCCTGGACCAAAACTTCTGCTTCGTCGTCAGCATTTTGTGGGATGATGTATTGCGCAAAGCTGTTTCTCAAAAATCTAGTTATAATCTTAGAGGTTTAGACAGTAAGCGAAAGTTAACACTTACCTGTGAGGCTTCATTGATTCGGCGTCGTACTCTATCAAATGTCGTACTCGCTTAATCAACCTTAAGGTCTCTTCATAGTTAGTCGCATGCTTCAGCTGAATACTGTTTAGAATGGAACGTGGGAGTAAGATGATTAGATAATGTTATAAACAATAAAATCGACTAAAAACAGTAGATCTATCGTACCTGCCAAAGACTTCATGTACCGCAGCCTCAACTCTTGCAGCAAGTCCCTTCCAGCCTTTGTGGAGTAGCCACCAACTGAAAGATAAGAACTTGCCTTCTACATCAATGTCCATGAAGGTATCCTTTGACTCAGACTCAGATCTCTCAATGCGGATTGTAGGCTCGCTTCTATTCAAACTTGCAATAGAGGACACGTAAGTGAACCGGCCCAAAAGATTTAGCTCAGTATGTGTAAGCAATGTCAGCAACGACACGCAGTAAAGGGAAGTCAAACTTCTAGTAAAGCCTACAAGTAGCCAAAGAGGTTAGTATGTACTCATGACATGTCAAAACACGTTCATAAGGAGTTCTCACTTTTGATTTTAATCTCTTCCCATAGTGCGTACTTGGACTTTAGTACTACTGCCTTTTCTTCCGATGGTACCTCCAATTTTTGAGAGCTTACAAGCTCGGATCCTTCCGACAAGGATGAGTTTGCAAGACTTCCAATGCTGCTCTCCATTGTACCACTATTGAGGATAGCTTTGCTAGATGGCTGCTGATCCTCTGTAATTGGTAAGAAGAGCTCTGGTGCGGGCTCTGGTTTTGTTTCTTCAGACTGTTGCTCATTGACAACAGTCTCAGCGTTCTCACTATTAGTAGGAGCTTCACTAATGCTTTCTTCCTTTATTTCTTGTTCTTCGACAGGCTTTTCTTGGTTGGAGTTAGCTTCAATCTCGCTTTCTTGCTTCTTTTCCTCTTTTTGCTTTTCTAGCTTCTGCTTTTGCTCTTTGCGTAGCTCTTGCAGCTTAGCCCATAGCTCCTCCACAGCCATATCATCAAAAACTTGTTCACTTAGAGTGGGTAATAGCGATAGAACGGTAAATGTACAGTCATTTTGATTTTGTTCAAAGCGTCTCTTCAAGCTGTGAGGAAATGTTAGACTTTGCTGGTTTTTCGTCGAACATGCTCGCGTAGACATACTTCTCTTTGGCCATTCTTTCAGATGCAGCCTTGTCCTGCAATTCCTGAATTTTATTCCGGGCATATTGACCAGCAAATATACCTCCACCTATAATAGTTGCGGTAATAAGTAAACCTTTGCGATGGCGCTTAGTATAGTCTTTGATGCTTTTGAGCATTTTTGTTTGTTGGCAGGAAAAACTGTAAGTTGTGTTGGTAAGATGAATTTCGATTCCCCAGATTGTCTTTGGAACTCCGGTATGCATGTGAAAAACAGCTGTCAAACTTTTGGTCTCGCCCTCATCCATTTTTTAAAGCACCAGCTTTGTACTATATTTTATTTCTGTTACTGTTGATACATTCAAAAAAAAAAAGTTACGAAAGGTTGAAGATTCTAGTCTATGAACATCAGGCATCTATACAATTCAGCTACCACCCAACAATTTAGGCTGTTTCCCAAGAGACGATGCTTTTGTATGATCTTGATATCATCTGGAAACTTCAGATGAGGAGTACAATGTGGAGCTTCATATTGTCTCGGAGTGATCGAATTGACTGATGGTTCTTGTGTGTCTGTAGTTTCGTTTTTCCAAGGAGGCATAGGAAATGCGTGCAACCGTGCTACTTCTGTGGGAGTGAAGTACCTCAGACCAAGTGACAAAAGTGATTCCGGATGGGCCCAGTCATATGAACTGACCTGAAATATGTATGTGTGAGCTTCTTAAGAACTAAATAAGAATACTGACATTTTTCCTCACCTCTAAATTTTTTGTTTGCAACATGGATCCACTGGTTTGAATGTGATGGGAACCGTATGCCTTTGTTGATACCATAGTGTAAGTCACGCAATTTGACTTGTTTAAGCAAGCAAAGCAAATTCATATATTATACTACCTTAGTAAAGCAAGACGTTTGATGACCTGATGGTTTTGTAATATCTGAAAATATATCGTTAACATTTACGTACGATAAAGTCAAGAAGTCGAAATCGTTCATTACCAAATCTAAAATTGTTGGACTTTGTAAGATATTTTTCTGGTACAAGGTGCTGTTCTGCATCTGTTTCTTCAAGGTCAAGGAATGCTGAGATTGATGGTGTTTTGAATTCGATTCGCTCTCCATCAAATGGCCAACACTCATGGATTATTGCCCTCTCTATATATCCCTCAGAGTCGGAAGGTGTGTCTCGCCGACGAGCTATGAGATAATATCGTAACCGGTGGTTTGGAATACCAAACTGGGTAGGAGATAAAAGGCATTCCTGTATATAGTAATCAAGACTGTCGAGTTGATTTACCAGGGCTTCTCTAGATTGCGAGCACTGCAAGATAGTTTTTCAATTATATGCATAAATCGTCGAAGAAAACAATGAAAACACATCAAACCTCGAAATTCTTGACATTTTCCAAAAAGATATATCGTGGCAATATGGATAACTTAGGTAGTAGCGTAATGAGATGTAATAATGGCTTTGCACGTTGATCTTCGCTGTCTTGTAGCTTTCCTCCTCTTGTATAAGGCTGAAAAGCACATCACTAGTGTTACAAGCAATAATGCAGATATTACAAAGATGAAGCCATATAGTGCTCACCTGACATGGTGGACTCAAAAGCCAGCAATCGGCATTGTATCTAAATGCATTGAATCAGTATAAGAACCCAATGTCAAGGAGTTGTATAATACATACCTTTCAATATCCTTCACGGTCAGGCGATCTATAGCTTTCTTCAAGTCGAAAAATATTATCATTTAGCACAACATCAACGATTTCTAGTTTGAAATGCTGTACTGACATTAGAGGGAGCAGAACCGAAGGTATGTTGGTAAACTTTGTTGGCTACTTCATTCATGTCGAATGCTTTTGCCACTGAAGCATCTATGCCCGCAACATTCAGTGCATGGTGCTTTCAAAGACAATCGAATGAGCTGATGTCTAAGTCTTTTCGCAATACAACTTACTACTTACTAGACCACCGATGCCACTAAAGAATTCCAAACATGTAATCATGGTTGTTTTATGGATCAGTCTGAGTCTAACGGGGGCAGTAACAATTGGAAAAAAAAAATTATAGCTTCCAAAGCACGTAGGCGATCCAAATTTTTTATTTTGATTTTTATACAATATCATTTTATGGGTGTAATGGGCAGGAAATGCTTTTGATGGTGCGCCGTTCTACTGTATCTTTACGAAGACAGCTCACATGCTGTTTATGTGAGACGAGTGTCTAAAAGGTATATGGTACTGATTGTTGGCCAGTGTCTAACCAGGATGATATCGAGAGGTGAAATGTTCATAGTTTGCGCTTCATCAAATAAAGATGTAAACCCTTTCGTTCGTATCCTGGGCGGTGTGGATCTTCTGTCACCTTAAGATTTCGCTAATATTAATCAAATGTTCAAGCAGCTCATTTTAAGATTCAAGCTTACCTCAGTTATGGTAAACTTTTTCCTCGCCAGTGTAAAGAAGCGTTTGTCAGCTTTTCTCCTTCGTTTGTAGCACAAGTATATTTCAGTCTTTTCGTTAGATAACAGCAATAGCGAATCAATAAGAGGCTGAAATGCGATCTCGAGATATACGCAGTCCGAAGCTATTATGATGTCCGGTGTCTTAGTAAGCCAATGAGGCAGTTCTACTCCCCTAGGAACAAAGAATCAGTAACAATGACAGCGAAGGTGTTGCTCAAAGGTTACATACCAGTCAAGAACATTCGCCTTCACAATCCTGCCGAGGTCATTGATGTTAATGTTGGCCTCCATAAGTGAGAGCATTGGACTAACCGATTCAATGTTTAAGAAGAGCTTGTTAGCAATAAAGTTTGAAGAGTTAAAAATAGCGGTAAGTAGATACTGACATCTGGTCCGTGATTACAATCTCGTTTGCATCCAAAGGATTGCACATTGCTCCTAATACCAAGCCCACTAGGCCAGTACCGCTTCCAAGTTCGAGGATAGTTTTTCCTTTAAAGGCATTACCATTACTGCTCTCGTATTTCCATATGAGATAGTTGCAGCTAACATCTGCGGCTTCCCATGTTTTCCCTCCACAACCACCAGTCGTGTCTTCCTTAATTAAAATTGGTCGAGGAAGACCTTTGTAGTCGAAGGAAGATGTTCGAATGATGTTCGAGTTGAGGATCTTTTCTGGATCCATAGTCAATGACCACTCCAAAAATGGATCTTTCTCAGAGTGTACCTGATCTACATCAGTCTCAGATTCTGTCGTGACGATGATGGAGCCAACATCTTTCCGTTCTTCGTTTTGATTTATTACAATCGCAGTTGACATGTTGATAAGTGTGGAGGCGGTAATCTGGATACAAACACTGCGCAAAAAAAAAAAGGAAAACGGTCGAGGTCTTGCGGTTGATGAAAAAGCCAAATTTACCTTTTCCGGTTCGCACTCAGCTCGAATTTTTATTTTTTTGTATTAAGGTTTTATTCTGCTGTTTGCTTCGCAATTAGCTAAAGGAAGGTGAGATATTTTCAAAGTATACGGGAATAGGAATGAGAAAAATTAGATTTAAGACCAAAGAGGAGAAGAAGAGCAATAAGGCTTTGGGATCAGTTTCTCTTCTAGAAACTAAGACCCTAGCCGTGGTGGAACGGTACAATCTTTTTGGACACCGGCATTGGAGTGTCAGGTATATCGAATCGGTTTTAGGATTAATCCATATCTTTAATAATCCTCAATATCATCTCTTCGAGCGTATGTTGTTATCAGAATTCTTCTACTCATAGGAACCCAAGATGTAATAATAGCAACCAGTGCTTTAAGCTCTTCCTCTGGCTCCACGTCCATCTGCAGCTGCATGGACCGCCGCCATCGGTGCACTCAGCTCGATTCATCGTACCTTAAATTCAGGACTCCACAGTTGCATTACTATCGAACGCACCTGAAGTATAGAGTACGTTTTTTAAAGCGAATGGAAGAGTAGTACAGCACTGCTATGTAAGCGCGCTTCCTTTCCATCCAGAAGATGGCGGGGGAAAAGTGAAATGGGAGCATACGCAAATTGAGTGATATTTTTAAATCATAATCTACATTTACAATATAAAAACAATTAAAGATTTTACAATGCATTTTTGAAAATAAAAGTTTAAAACATTATAATTATATAAATTAACATTTTTATGTTGTTTTATAAAATACATTAATAAACTTATATACTGTAAAAAAGTGTTATATAAATGATATTATATATAAAATAAATTAAAAATTATATAGAAGTAAAAATAAATTTTTACTTCCATATGTACACACCTCAGCAGTTCGCAAAATCTTACCCATGCAAAAAAGGACCGCGTAGCCTCTTTTTTTTTTTCTTTTTTTTTTGGCGGGAGGGGGGAGGGTTTTTCCTTCTTGTAGTAAAGGAGGCTATGGTGGATTAATCGCCATTATGGAGACCTTGCTGCCTATAGGATTGGTAGCTCACATCAGACTATTCATTCGGTTTTGGGGATAACTTCGTACCACCTACTTGACAACGGTATACGTGTCACTGGAATGGTCTTAGGCCCTAATCTCACCAATAGTTCCGAATGCTACTTGTTATCCAGCCAGGCATTTTTACGGACTGGTATTTCTTGCTCTGCCTTATCCAGTGGTTGAGCTTGGGATGCCATCTACGGTGTGATATTCGAATAGACGGTTTATATACTTTAGGGTTTCCATATATCACACTGAAAGTTAGTGTCTATAGTAGGAACTATTATACATTTTCAGAAGTGACTAACAAGGTTTTTGGCGTATATTCTGCTAGTAGTACGCACACAGCTGTATGTAGGAAATGAAGACCATGATGCTTCTCGAAACATTTTGCCAGCCGGCGAAGTGTTGCATAGGTATAAACCCGCACTTGAATTTTTGTCCTGAAAATTTCGGACAAACGAGTTTATGAAGAACTAGCACGATGAAACACAATAACACTGCTTGAAATATTTTCAAGATAGCACAACGCTATATTAGAAAATGCCATGAATATGAGGGAACATCACTGCCGATAAATGACGGAAAAGCAGCTGGATATAAGGCTAAGCTAATAGAAAGTCATTCTCAATATCCGAATGGTTATGTTGATAAGCATTGGAAGCTGTTGAACCTGATATCAGAGCAGCTCTGCGCGAAGTGTTCCCAGAGCTATTGATATCAATATCCGTGTGGAATAAAAACGGATAACAGATGTAATTTCGCTCAAAAAACTAAGGAGAGCTACCGGCTGCAAGAAATACCGACCGTGTCATCGATTGCGACGGAAAGGATCACAGAACGGAATGCGACTCCTATCTAAGAATATCTTAAGGATTTTATTTTCATCGATGAAGTGGGGACTCAATCTAAACACTTAGCGAAATCACCTTCGCTCTCGACAAGGAACTCTAGCCCAAGGGTATTGTGCGCTCAATAAATACATAAGCTGACTAAGGTACATGATATTGTTGAACATAAGGATTACAAGTGTTCGTGTCTTCAGCCGCATTCTTCAGTCTTAAATTCATTGACACTTTTGGCGAAATTTAAGCATAAGATAAGACGATATGCTCTGGTGACCGACCATTGTTCAGACAATGAAATATGCGAGCAGGTACCAATTATGACTGCTGTTGAATGTCAAGCATGGATCAGACCTACTGTTTCTTTTTTTTTTTT